TCGAGATGTGGTTTTTCTTTACTGTGACAAGTGATAAAGTTTTCCAGATAACCATTAGTTAATAAAACTGAATGTATATGTCGAAACTCATCCATCAATGTGTCACTCGTGCAAATTTTTCGGGCCCTTGAGAACAAAAATTTCACTAGGGGGGAACGTTTATACTGGATAGGAGCAAAACTGGTAAAATGAAGATATTATTCACTCCATGTCTGTTTACGAAAAATAGATCGTTGAATCGCTCCATCACCTCTCCTAGTCATAGTAATATCCAGGATACCGAATTTGTTATTCGGTTCGAAATGATATCATCTCGCGAAATTTGTCTTCTTAATGCCTTATTCAAATTTATCAAAGGGACTAATTTTTTTATTATTTTTTTATTAAATCAGTGTTGTTACCATCATTTTTTGTTAGCTGTTAAGTTAGTCAGTCAGTCACTTTCTCTTAATTACTAATTTGTGTAGAATGTGTATCCAAAATTATTAGAGAAAGTTGTTATTGTCCTATGGGTTATGTGTATTAAGTCAATCTGTTGTGTTTATGATTAACTGATGTGCCAAAGTTGATATATTCACAAGTGAGAGTAAAATCTCAGTTGTTTGTTTTTGTTGGTCTAGTATTTCTATTGTGATTACTAAAACAATGCAAAAGACAATTTTGCTGAGTTTTATCGATTTAAAATACCAGCTTCGTATGATGCACGTGCCAAGAGAAGTGCCGTACATCTTTTTGTAGGAGGGCTACGATACTGATACGTAGACATCCAAACTAAAGCAGGTGGTTGTCTTAAGAGGCTACTTCCCTAGCCTTTGACATGAAGTGTGACCTACAAAGGAAAAGAAGAGCAACGTCTGCTTCCCACTGTCAACAGCAGTTTCATGCACTTTATTTGTTCCTCTCGGATCCTGGAGTCCATGTGCAGCATAAGGTGGTGGTGGTGGGTGGGTGGGGGAAGTACAACGAGGGTTTTTCAACCCCTTTTCAATAACCGACGGACATTTAGTTTTTATATGAACACCCTGTGCTACTGCGTAAAGGCAGTGGATGAGGATCTCCTGCAAGAGGCTATGAACACACGACGCTACCAGAGTATTTTGAGGGGAATAATAATAATAATAATGATTTACTTTATTCCCAAAACAGTACTTGTGATACAGAATGGAATTTTCAGCATTAATCACAATATTGCATATAATTTCCTCAAATTATAAATAAAAATTAATCACGCAGAAAATTTTCCACATTTACAATAGGGGTAATGTCGAAAACATGCAGCATATAAGATGGAAATAATAATAATGATAACAGCTAGGGTAACAATAATAAGAATACAAGTGAAAATTACTATGGGCTTGTTTCACACAGTATTGGCAATGTGGTATAGAAATCCTAACATGTTTAAAAATATTGAATATAATGTTCTCTTTACATGATATTGTAAGGGGAAAAACAAAGAAGCAACAGGACCATAAATATAATAGAAATAATAAAAATAAAACTTGAAAGTGTATAAGGATGGATGGATAGAGGAAATTGTTTATTTACTAGATGAAAAAAGGTTAGTTAATTGTTGCCTGACACTATTTTCATCACATAAAATACGTGCCAAGTATGGTATCATAGAATTTTTATACATAGACGTGAAAGCATACAGTTTCCTGAAGTTACTTCTTGTTCTGCCTGAGAAGATGCAAGATGAAAGCTTAGCGTAAAGTGGATGCTCCAAGTCAGACAAAATCCCTCTAGCAAATTTATTGCACGAAGTCAAGTGCCTATCGACAACGACATTAACCATGTGGTCCACTGGGACACCACTCACCCTACTGACCGTCTTCAGCATTCTACGAATTGTGACATAGTCTTTTTTAAGCAAACCAGGAAAGAATAAGGGTGAACAATAAAGAAGAATAGGTAGGATGCAAGAGTTTATGAACTGTAAGAGGAGGGGTTGGTTGAGTTATACCCGAGTGCCTTAACTTAATGTAAAATGTCAGGCGGAATATTTTACTGGAGATCGCTAAGACATGAGAAGACCATGAGATATCAGAAGAGAGAATAAGTCCAAGATATTTAATTTCTGATATAATTTCTATATGATTGTCGTCAATCTTACATCTGTCAAGAGAATAGACGACTTCTTTTAATTATCTTTTACATCTTGAGCTGAAATTAACAGTTTGACATTTAGTAGGATTCAGTTTAAGGCTGTTAAACTCAGACCATTTACCGACTCCCGACAGAAGCTATTCATTTGGGTACAATCTAGCTGGGAGTTAATTGCCATTGAAACTGTCAAATCATCAGCATACTTCATAAAGTTTATTTCATCAGAGTGAGGCAAGTCATGTAAGAAGAAAGAAAAAAGAAAAATAGGGAAAGGACAGCGCCTTGAGAATATCAAAGCCTAGCCACCATCAGATTCATCAGATGTTTAATTAACTTTTGTTTGGCTACAGCACACTTCTTTGATTCAACTAGTTTTTTTTTAAATATGATATTTTATGAGTGACTTTCATTCATTCCATGGAAGATATCGATTAGTAGGAGTTGCATTATCTAGTAGTTTCCAGTTAATTAGGTTGACCTAGTTTTGATTAGTGATAATAATGATGGAAAATAATTATACTTTGGCAGAGTCATCTTTTAATTTAATCAAAATTATTCTGAACCAGCTATCGAAATTTCAACATGGATATAAAAGTCTCGTGTTATATCTTACAGATTAACATTATTTTTTCTTTAAAGTGTAGGCGTCATATTTCTGCCGTTTATATAGTAGAGTTCATTTCATTCTGAAAACAGAAAGACTGAGCGAAGAAATATTTACTTTTCAATGAGATCCTCATCTCTGGCTCTACTCTAATATATATAGCATTTTAATTACAATACAACAGTTTGCCAATCAAGTGGCGATAAGTTTGTTAACAATAATTAAACAGTGTCAATGGGTTAATAGTTAACGAAGAAAATCAATACAGATTTACAAAGTGGAAATGGATAGAATAAATTAATTTTACAAGAATAACACGTAAATTAGAGATGAAGTGGTCAAAATAAATAATTTAGACAAATATAACTTTATAGGTTTAGGGGGAGGGGGGCGACGCAGTCCTGTTTTAAGGCTTTAAGATATACTTGCTGAAAATAAAAGCATGTACAAGTGGCATGCAGTTTCTGCTCATAGTTAGTTGTCTTCAACATACGAATAAGAGTTAGGCATTATTATTATTATATCCCTTAATTCCTAGAGGAACATAGGGCTTCAGCCGCGTGTTTCCATTGCTTTCGGTTTTCTGCCAACTTTTTCACCCCGCTCCAAGTCTGCCCACATGATTTCATCTCCTCTTCTCATGGCCTACTCCAAGTCACCCTTGCCCTGACGACCAACTCGCCGCTTCCCTTTCGGGTCCCACTCGAGCGATGGCTTGTCTAGTGATGTCACTTGATGCCCTGTTTCATCAGCGTATAGCCAATCCATCTCCATTTCTTCCTGCCTAATTGTTTCACTGTCGGTTCCTGCTGAGTTGGTTCTCTCATTGCCAGGAATCCCTGTTGGTGATCTTTTCTGGCCAGCCATCAAATCTTGAGTATTGAGCGAAGGAAGCTGTTGGTGAAGGTTTGTAGTTTGTTTGACGTGCTCTTTATGACGCGCCGAGTCTCTGATCCGTGTGGTAACTGGCACTGACTTGACATTGGAGTTGAAAATCTGGATCTTATTTTTGATGGTGAGTGCTGTTGACCTCCACACAGACTTAAGAGTAATAAAGGCTTGTTACTGTATGCTTTTATGAAATAAATTTAAGTTTATGACTGGATCGTTGTTCTATTCGTCTAAATTTTCATATCATGTAGATCAGTCTGATAAATGACAACGAGGTTTTGTGTATGCAGTTTTAATTGACACGAAGGATAAATCAATCAACAAGGTTGTAAAGCTTCATAGACTGAGCTAACCGGCGTCTTTACTACGTATGCTGAGTCATCGTTTTCATTAGATTAGCATAAGGTTGGGAAAACGTTGGCGGATATCGCTCCAGTCGATTAAGCTATTGACTTATGATCTGCATCAAATATGAAAGTGTATATTTACCTGTTTACCTCCTTAGGGCGTCTTCTATATATATATATATATATATATATATATATATATATATATATATATATATATATATATATATAGGCTATGAAACTAATGACATAATAGTAATATGATTTCTCCTCTGACACATCAGTCAGAGAACTACTGAAAACAAATGAGTACTGGACGACGGCTGTTTTTATCCCTCTTTGAGACGTTGAAGCAGGGATCTAACCTTAAGACGTTTCAGGTTTTGAAGTCGAGCACTTTGACTCGTGTTAGATTACACGCTAAAATCAGTTATAGAACGACTGAAAGTCAGGGATTGTCAGACAGGTGCTTCATCTTAGTTTATGACACCTCACCAATACGTACTCGTCGCAGCACTGTGGGTTGATCGCATGACCTTCAGGTTATGAGGCGGGCCGTTATCCATTCAGCCACCGGGACAGAATGCAATAACTTGTTAGTTCTAACTTCTAGCAACTCATGATGTTTAACGCCATCGCTAGTCACAGTCATCGGAGAGTATTTTTTCTGAAACCTTACTAAGTGGATCTCAAAGGTAACGACATTTCTCTAGCATTGTAGGTAATTTCATCCTCTTGTCAGTCACTGGTGAGCATTAGATTCATTTTCAAGTGTCGTGGTTTGCGGGGATTCTGTTGGCTTCAAGTCGTAGGTATGTACTGCTGAAGATTTCTAAACTAAGACAAAACAAATGTCTAGTACTCTTTGGTTTTCAGTGTTTGACTTACTTATGTATCAGATTATAGTCTAACTTGAAATCAATCAAATATATACAAACCAGCACCTAAACATAATACTTGTCCTTATTGTAACGTAAATTTTATACACATTGTCATGATTTCCTTACCTTTCCTCTTTCTTCTTCTACCTCTTCGTGTAACATTGAAAGACATGAAGTATGCGATCTTGGCCAGAGTGTAATTATGTGTCCATTATGTAAATCATCTAAATGCAAATTTTGGACATTAGATACATCATGTTTACGGACAAAACTGATGCGATTAGTAGATCATGAAGGAACAGTTGTATTCGCTGTAGTTATGTCTTTATGGGGTAAGTTTATCATTATTTTTTTAATTCATATATTCATGCATAAAACTTGTTCCTCTATATTATCATTTGTCTTGTTATTATGTATTGTTTTATCGCATATAAAGCAATATAGAAGACTGAAATATGTCCATTGAAAGCTAATGGAATGAAAAGGATAATCAGTTTTTGATTGTAGGCGTCTGAGTTATCTAGTCAGCAATTAATAAGGTTAGGTGCAGGGTTTTATGTGCTAGGAGAAACATTAGGAATCACTGGAAGTACTGGATAAGCTGTCCCGACCTACTTTAGGATTCTTTCATCAGTACGCACCCACCGGGGCTCGAACCCAGGACCATCTGGTGACAAGGTGAGTTAAGACACCAGTACCCGATCTGACGGCTGGTGAATTCAAACTTCTCTCAGGTTTTCCAATGGTTTTGTAACCGGTGTCAGCTCATGATGAAATCCTCTAACCAGTCAAACTAAAAGTACTTACAAACCAATACTTGAAAACTGACAGGAGAAACTTAAACTCGATTGAGATGGTTAGGATATGTGTTATGCATGCCAATCCATTACATTATTTTGTTGAGTAATATTAGCTGACATAGAATAATTCCATTATAGATAAGATTTTATTTTGATAAATCGCACAGTGTTTACAGTTATATGGAATGGAATTATACTCTACCACAGTGCCCAAGTTTTATACTTATATCAATAAGACATAGAATAAGGTTGGAAAAGTTGAAGAGATAACGATTAAGCGAAAGCATGTCTTGAATTCATTAAGACTTTGACTGTTGTTTTTGAGGTATGTAAGGAGGTGCAGACTGCCTGTTCATTATCTTCGTGATGCTAAGAACCAATGACTGGAAGGAATTGAAGACACTCTTGACGATATTAGATAGTTGGGGGCGATCGGCCACAGAAAGCCTTGGACCTAGGTTTCATGCTAGTTGCCAATCATCAGTAAGGCGTATCTGTAACCACCTTGAAGGAACTCATGTCCCTTCTGAGATTCGAACCCGCGTCACCCAGTGCTGCAGTCAGAGACATTACCACCGAGCTATTCAGGCTCGTCATTGACCTCCTGTAGGACTGTAGTGGATATTTTGATTGGACACTAATAACTAGTGTGATGTGTCTAGTCCTTTCTTTGGTGCAGACTGAATTCTATCAGTCAATCAGGTTTGCAATGTGGCCACCATTCTAGGTAGCTCACTCTTTTTTGGTGAACTCCTAACTATTCTCCATGTAGTTAGCTATTTCTTATTCAGTGCATTTTTACTTATCATACATTCATTACATCTCCCTCCTTTACATATGAGTGTTCTATTCAAGAGATTCAGCTCATATTCCTACTTATGTTCTTTTGTTTTGTGTTTTTCCAACCTAGTGTAACAAATACAGACCTTTGGAAAGACAAAAGCATACAACAATTTGAAGAAAAATAATGAATATTTTTCTCAAGGAGACAATTTTTTTCCTTACTTTGCGTTCCTAGTGGAACTTAGGGCTTCAGGCCTAAAAACCTGGAGTTTCAGTAACCATGCTGGCTTTGTTTTTATTTGGATAGGTTTGCTACCCCCACGCCCAACCTCCCTTCCTTTTTCCTCGTTTACCATTGACCAGTACACTGGGGTACAAGAGTGCGTTGGCCAAAAATCAAGCCTGGACCATATACGTGGTTAGCGGCTATTCTCCATCTGAATCACTGATGCACCAAGGAGGCGATACTGTTACAATTTTTCTTTGCGTTCTTGCATTCTAAGGGAAACGTAGGGTTTGAAACTGTTTTTCTATAGGTTGTGGTTATGGAGGTGTTGTTTTTACGGTATAGGATTGGTAGACTCACGTTCAATCTTCTCTCATTTTCAAACTTACTAACAACTAGTAAATTAGGCAAGGTTTATGCATAGTTCTATCGGGAATCGAACCCTGACCGGTTGGTGTGATTAGCGGGCATTCTAGCATTGAACGACTGATGTACATTGTAGGTATACATTGTATATATGTTACAACACAGACACTTGCAACCAATTTTTAATGTACAGATTATCGGTCATAGTTATTGTAGTTGTGGCGGCTGATAATATTACCCACTAATCACCCCCAGGAGACGTAACATGGGACCGATTGACTGGGAGTTAAGTTCTTATATCAACCAGCCAAGACTGAACAGTTATGCATTTGTATGTTTCACAGACTATGTGATGTCTGTGATCTATTTTTTTTATTTTATTTTTTTTATTTATGTCTCAAAGGTGTAAATTATCTTTTCCTCATTGAAATCGAACAATTTGCATGAGTTGTTAGTCATTTTTTTCAATCAGCTTATTATTCACTATTTGTTTTTGACGATTTTTTTCACATGTTTACTTGATTTTTTAAAGAAGTCATTTGGAATATATTGAACGTAGCGTTCGCTAAGCGGTAGGACGCTCGCCAACCATGGATGTGTTTGGCGGTTCGATCGCCGGCCGACGCACTGCTTTACCTCGTTAAGCCGGTAATAGGGAAGGTTGGACATGAAGCTAGCAACTGCAACCCATAAAAAATAAAGATCAATTTTACCGAAACTTAGAAGCTTTAATTTGAAACCCTATATTCCACTACAAAACGTAATGGAATAAAATAAGTTTCTAAAGAAACGTAAAAATACTTTCCCACTTATATTCACGTTGGTTACTGACTGAATGTATATGTGTGTACTGCTGAAAACTGCTGAAATGTGAAAATGAATACTGTTTGGAGTTTTGAGAGGAGAAAAGATGATCATCCGACTCACAACAAGTACCATCTAACACGTATCTAGGAGAAATTTTCTTTAAAACACGCAAACTTAGGTATGTAAACATTCTGAATTCATTTTTTTTATTCTTCTTACTTTCCTCCTTTTTGTTTCTACAATTTTTTACTTGAAAACAACCCAGCTGTTATATTTTTTGAAATGTGGAAACGTAAACAAGTTTCATTAGCTTATCATTGGAATGTTAGTTCACTGGAACCAATGGATCAACCACCTAGACCAGAATTTATGGCGTTACTTAATAAAAAATGCCCTAGAAGAGTTAATCCGATCACTGGTGTAAGTTATCTTTCCTTGATTGTCAATACTCTTCACTTTGTTAATTTCATTTACCTTTGATTTTATTCAGTGGTCATGTGGGTCTATATTTCTGTGGTAGAATGCTCGTGACACAGCTGTGTTTACGGTGTCGATTATTATTGGCTGACGCACTCCTAAACTTCCTCTAGTTTTCTAAGTGATAGTAAGAGAAGGTTGAGCATGAGGCTAGCAACTTCACCCTGTAGGAAGACACCACCGCTTCTAGGACTCCAAAAGGCTGGTACCCTATATTTTACATGGAACGTGAAGAGTTCGGAAAAAGAAATACAATGGTCAAATGAAGTGATTATATTCTTTTAGGTAATGATTGCGTTTAAATGGTGCTTATTGTTTAAAACTGCCGGTATAAAGCCTATGGATCCTGGGTTCGAATCCTCCTTCATCTACTTCAACTTAGGTAGTTTAATGAACCGATACACAAATATACCTCATATCTCAGAAAGGATAGCAACAAGGAATTCTGTCTGTCAAATAACTAACCGAGAACGTATCCTTTAAAAATATGCAAGAGAAAATGGGGATGGATTGGATATACGCTGAGGAGACCGTTCAGTGACATCACGCGTCATGCCCTCAAGTTTAACTCGAAATAGGAAGTTACAGGGAATCAAGTCTTGTGAGCAGTCATCAGACTGGCTAACTGTGGTGACAGAGATTCAAGTGCTATGAAGATGTGAGGTTGAAGCTGTACGTTCCATTCGGGACGCAATTAATGAATAATAATAGCTGTGTATAGTTTTGGTTGTTTTTGTCGAAGTTTGTTTTAGCACACCTCTGGAGGCATTCTTAGTGATATGCTCTGTCGGAAGAATCTGTAGGCATCCAAGTGTGCGCCATGTGTTGTTGAAAATTAAAGTATCCAATTGAAGACGAATAGGTTTGTTGCTATTGGAAAGGGAAAACAAGATTCGTTGTTCTGTGTAATTCTTGAATAGGCCATCGCTCTTTACACAACAGGAGTACAACTTTGGCTTCACACAACTCCAGAGTAGGTTCACGCGTGTTGTTGGTCTTATCAGACTGATATGTTTGAGACCACCTACGGTCAGATGAACGGGTGCCAGACTGGTACTATGGAGGCTACTGTTTTGAATCCTCTTGTGACTCATATTTTAATTTCACCACCTTCATCACACTAATAGCATAATTTGCCAGTTAAGTGCTGTCTCACATAGTCTCACTATCAAATTTTTCTCCATTCTTCACGTTCTCAGAGGAACATAAGGCTTCATGCTACAATCTTTAAAGCTTCAGTAGCAGTGGCGTTAATTTTATGGGGTGGGATTGCTAGCCTAACATCGAACCTCTCTTATTTTCCTCAGGGATTGTCGCCGACTAAATGAGGTTTTAAGATGGCGTTGGTGGGGAATCGAAACTAGGACAACATGTGTAGTTATGCAGCATTCTAATAATAATGACAATAACTAATAATACTATTGCACATTGATTTGATGATATTAGATAGTTGGGGGCAATCAGCCACAGGAAGCCTTGGACCTAGGTTTCGTGCTATTTTTTTTTGTTTATTTACAGCTTGATTCCACACTGTATTTTCGGTACAAGTATGGAATTTTCAGCATGGATATCGGTAGCCCAAATTTTGCAGGCCGACCATAGATATCAGATGTGCGTCGGTGCGAGCTCGAACCCCGGACCATGTGCATGGTCGGCGAGAGTCCTAACCACTGTGCCACCGACGCACTGTTGCCACTCTCCAGTCAGAAAGGCGTATCTTCAACCAGGTTGAGTGGACTCATGTCCCTTCTGAGATTCGAACCTGCGTCAATGAGTGACGTTACCACTGAGCTATTCGGGCTCGCGGTTGACCTCCTGTAGGACTATAGTGGGCATTTTGATTGGACACTAGTAACTAGTGTAATGTGTCTAGTCTTTTTCTTGTTGCAGACTGAATTCTATCAGTCACCGTGATGGTGAGCTACCTGGAATGGCGGCCACACTGCAAACCTGTCCCATAAAATTCAGTCTGCACTAAAGAAAGGACTAGACACGTCGCACTAGTTACTAGTGTCGTATCATAGTAATATTAGTGTTAATAGCTTTATTGTGAAATGTTTATAAACTTTACCTTACTCCTTCACGTTACGAGTGGAGAATAGGGCTTTAGGATTGAAATTTGAATTTTCAGTAGCAGTAAAAGGAGACTAGACGAGGTAATGGTGTGGGTCATCCGGGAATGGATCCACGGACCAAGTGCATGGTTGGCGATCATTATACAACTGAAGCACAGATGCATCAACGGACTTTATGGCATGATATTCTCCCTTCGTTCAGGATCTTCAAGTAATTTATTAATTAATAGTAGACCGTGTGACATAGTGCTGTCCAATCCGAAGCTCAAACCAATCTATTATACCCCTTCATTGTCTCCTTCGACAAATGCTTGATATCTAGTTGCGTGCCAAATATTACAGTGCAGGAGTACCTTTTTAGAACCAAGGACATAACTTTAAAACAGTCATCTCATGCATTGTGACACATTGCCACTCAGTTTTATGCTGATTTCAAGTTTCTACTAAACCTGAGAATCAGCAGGCTGTACACATTTTAAATCCACGCTAGATTAAGAAATATTTTATTAGAATAAAACAAATTGAACAAGCGATATTATATGCAGTATATTGGTGGAAGTTTTCGGTAGCCCAAGTTTTAAACAGACCGCCAACATACTACCACCGATGCACCTCACTAACAAAATAGTTTTGTTTTAATTAAGTTGAGTGAAGAGGTAGATTTAGACAAGATAAATGAAATGTTGAAGACACGTATCAAAGAACTTAACCCTAAGTTCCTATTATTTGCGAATACGCTACGAATCGATAATTAACTATGACCGCTTCTCGACTTTAACTCCGAAACCCCAGTACTTGTAAGAAAGAAGTTGTATTGTTTGGCAATTAGAATCGAGATTAGTACAGAGTCTGTTGACAAATGTTTTACGATAAATATACTATACTTTTATTCATATTCTTTCGTCTTCTTCCAACTTATACACGACTGAACCATTCGCACCTTCTAGTTGCCCACCAGAGGCAAGCAAGGCCAATGAACCAACGTTCAATGTTCACGTTCATTTACAACATGCTTTTGTCTAGACATATACCAGTTTTCCTCTATGACCGAATCCGAGATATTCTGTTTTAAATTCACTAAATTTTTGTCGTTTTTTTTATCTCTTGTTTACCTTTTTCTATTAGTATGTTGAACCGTTCATACCATTTTGGCGTCGGAAAATACCAGTTATTCTAATCACCTATTCTACTGTCCTGCTGGCTGTAAGTTATATTAGTTATTTCATGTATATGTTATTTATGAATGTGTATTTTCTGTCTGTCTGTGTTTTGTTTTTGCACTTTATGCTATTGTCAGTATTTTTACGGATCGTATATGAAACGATAATTCCATAAATAATGGGTACTTGAATGAAAATAAGATGATGTGTTAGAGAATATAAATGTATATGCCTTCGCATGACACTGAACATCAGATTCCCAGAATGTATATGCATCAAATAACTCTGGCAACTAAACATTCAAGACCCTATTTCTCAGTAAATATGTAAAATGAAATAGATCTGACTTGTACAGATATTGAGAAGGTTGTTGAATGACATCATGTCCCAGGGCATCGTGTGGATCCTGAACAGGTAGAGGCTAATTGGGCGTCGCTTCGAGGGCGACATGAAGGCGATCATGTGAAGAGGTAATGAAAGCGTATGAACAGTCGTGCAGCCAGCTAGGAAAGACTTCAGAGGACAGTGAGAAATAGCGATGTAATGTGCTACATACCCTACCTTCCACTAGGAACCCATTATTATTATTATTGTTCCCTTGGATTCCAAGCTGAACGTAGGACTTCAACAGCACATCTCCACTTTGTTCTATTCTCTGCTGTCCTCTTCAGCTGTGTCCATGGTTGCCCATAATCTCTCACCTCCTCCAACTCTCACGATCTCCTCCATGTTACTCTCGAACCAAAGACCCCCTTCCTTCGTTTCCCATTCGGGTCCACCTGGAACGATGGCGTACCGCGCTATGTCATTCGATGTTCTCCTCAACGTATGCCCAATCCGTCCCCATTTTCTCCTACATCATTTTGAAAGATAGGTCCTTAGTTGGTTTGTTCCCAATCAGAGTTTCTTGTTGCTAATTCTTTCTGTCCAGTCATTTGATCTTCAATATGGAATCAGCGAAGGTAACTGTTTAGAAAAGTCTGCAGTAGTCTCTTGGGAATGCCTGTCGTGATGCGCTTGCCAAGTTTCTGACCCCATGTATAAGAAGTGCTCAACTTAACATGTTTGTTGAAGATCCGAATCTTTTTGTTTATGCTGAGCTTAGAAGATTTCCAAACCGATTTTGGATTGATGAAGGTGTATCCTGCCTCTCCGACTCTGGCTTTCATATCTTCATCTGTTCCCCTTGTGGTTAAACAATTCTTCCTCTAAGGCCCTTGAAAATTCCTTGAACTGGATGGTGGTCTAAGCCCACATCTGCTCCCCTTTTCGAATATTTTGTCCGATTTCATGAGCAGCATTGGGATGAAATATACCTGGTTTTCGACGTGTCTATCAGACGAAATCCATGTTGTTTTGTGTATTTTCTTGTGTTTGTACACGCTCTCTCCAATCATCAAATTGTTGAAAGAGCAGAAGTCTATGAAGAATTCTACATTATCATTCATTTCTCCCAGGGCCTCCTGACCTATGATGAGTTCTCTTCCTGTATTATATGCTCCCAGTTTGGCATTCATATCACCCGTGAGGATTTTGATGTCACCATCACTGTTTGTAGTTGTTACCTTCCTTCCTTTGGAGTTGAATCTCTCTGCCATGATCCTGGATGAGGGGATTGGTTCTCACTGCATTAGGACTTTGGCTGCCACTGGTGACATCATGATAGCCACTCCCCCAATGTGTTCGTGGTTGTCGTCTGGGTGACCGGAGTAGATTATTGACCCTCCTGTTGACAATTTTGTCAATCCACATCCATTCCATCTGCTTTCGCAGATTTCCAACACTTTTATACCATCTCTTCTCACTTCTTTTGCTGTATGGGGAGCCTTCCCACTTTCGTACATTCGACATACGTTCCACGTCCCCATTCTTTTTCTTGGTTTCATCAAGAGAAGACAAATCGGTTGACTGGCTTCTCGAAGGCTTTCACCAACCCGCGTCATTATTTCACCTCTCCAATTCCAGCGAAGAATAAGTTTTTTAAAAATATTTCTTTTGTATTTTTCATATGTGTTAGGGTTTCTGTAGCAGTTTGATTGATTTTATGGGTTACCGTTGTGAGACCCACTCCCAACTCTTCCTTTCTTTCCGGGTTCAGGACCGGCTATAAAACTCGCGAGCTAGTAAGTTAGGCGAGGTTACTAGGACCCTGGAGGATGATAAATAATAAATTGTATTTATAGAAATCTCAACGTTATTGGAATAATCCCATTATTTGGTTTAAAAAACCAGTCTAAGCGCGAATACCATAACTTACTTGACATTCAGATACATCTCTCTGACAAATGTCAAATAAGACGAACAGTTAGGCTTGGGTTCTACTCTGATACGACATATACAAACAATCCTATATTCCAATGGGCAGTAGGCAATCTCATTATCTTTGTTTTTTTTGGTTTTTAACTTTTTTAGGCGTGTTTTCATTAGTGCATAGTTTGCTTTTTATTGATTCCATCTTACTTCTTTGCTCATTTTTCTGTCATGCATGATACTTGTATGCATTTGTGTTTGTGTGTATATATGTGTATGTGGCCGCTCTCCAATATGCCTATATGTAACTTGTTTACTCTGCGCTTACTTTGTATATTCTCTATGTAGATATATTAGCTAGAAATCAGAATGTGATCCTGATTTAGCTAACATGTTTTCCTAGTTCTCTGTATGCATGTATGTGACCCAGATATTTCCCTTCGGAGTTCTAGTCTCATTATATTTTTGTCACATGAGAATAACTGATAAATGAGGAAACTTATCAGTTTTTTTAGAAACGATTGTGATAATATGATTGTTTTCTGATGACAAACTGTAGTAGATCCAATAAAAATACACATCGATAGATAAGTCGCACTACCGTCAATGTCGTCGCTTTTTTCCCCTTTTTTCTGTGAACTGTTTCCTTTGTTGATGTTGTTCTCATTGTTTGTCCGTTATTTTCTGATTTTGAGGGGAGCAACCCAAAAAGTTGCTTCTCTCTAAACTTTTACTTAATGTAATCATTCTTTTCTCAGGCGTGAGGCTAGCAACCCCACCCTGTAAACAAAATTGCTAAAGAAACTTCAGTATGTGAACCTCTTTGCACCAAAAGAAAAAGTCTGTGTAGGAACATGGAACGTCCGAACTATGTACGAGACTGGAAAGCTGCCCAGATCGCCAACGAGATGAAAAGATACGGAATACAAGTGCTGGGAATATGTGAGAGCAGATGGAATGGGAGTGGACTCACCAAATTGTCAACAGGTGAGTCAGTGATCTACTCCGGTCACCCAGAAGATAACCACACGCACACCGAGGGCGTGGCTATCATGATGTCACCAACGGCAACGAAAGCCCTGATACAATGGGAGGCGATTTCGTCCAGGATAATGACCGCCAGTGTCAATCATACAATGTTATGCACCCACAAACAACGCAGACCTCGAGAAGAAAGAAGAATTCTACAGGCAACTACAGGCAACAATGGACAATACTCCAGCTGGCGACATGAAAATACTAATGGGAGACATGAACGCCAAACTGGGACCAGACAATACGGGAAGGGAACTCATCATGGGTAGAGAAGCTCTAGGAGAAATGAATGAAAACGGAGAACTCTTCGCCGACTTCTGCGCCTTCAACGAACTGGTGATTGGTGGCAGTGTATACAAGCACAAAGATATCCACAAGGCTACATGGGTGTCACCAGACGGGCAAACCAAAAACCAAATCGACTTCATCTCAATCTCAAGGAAGTGGAGGCGCAGCCTACTGGACACAAAAGCAAGAAGAGGAGCAGACGTTGGCTCAGACCACTATCTCGTACAAGGGACAATCCAAATCAAATTAAAAGCTTTCAGGGAATCAGGAGCTGCAGATAGACCACAAGCCAAGTTCAACACTCAAAAGCTGAAGGACCAGGCTACAAAGGACATCTTCATTGCAAGCATAAAGGACAAAGCCGAGACACAAATCAACACTAGCGAAAAGGTCGGCGTTGAAAAGCACTGGAACAACTTGAAAACGGTGTGGAGCCAAACCTGCATAGAAATTCTAGGCAGAAAAAAGAGACAGGACAAACAGTGGCTCACTACGGACACTTGGAAACTAATAGAAGAGAGAAGGACAGTGAAGCAAAAGATTATCCAGTGCACGACGAGCAACAAAAACAGGAGCTGAATGCAAGCTACAATACACTGAACAAAAGAGTGAAGAAAAGTGCCAGGGAAGACAAAAGAAAATATTATGAAACCATGGCAAACGAAGCAGAACAAGCTGCAGGCAAAGGAGACCTCGCCACACTCTACCAAACAACTAGGAACCTTTCGGGCAAACGTTCGACACAGATTAAGCCAATAAAGGACGACAATGGAAAGTCAATCACCAAAGAGGTGGAACAGAGAAAGCACTGGGTTGAACACTTCAAAAGACTTCTAAATCGTCCGCCACCTACAACACGTCCAGCAATACCAACAACGGAAGCAGAACTACCAGTGAACACTGACCCCCCGACGAAATCAGAAGTCCTGAATGCAATCAAGATGCTTAAAGCTGGGAAAACACCGGGACCAGATGGAATCCCAGCAGAGGCTTTGAAAATAGACCCAGAGACAACAGCGGACTTGATGACACCACTACTGGAGAAGGTGTGGAAAGAGGGCAAAGTACCCGAGGATTGGAAGAACAGTTACTTATTCAAACTTCCAAAGAAAGGAGACTTAAGTCAATGTAAAAACTGGCGTGGAATTATGCTTCTGTCCATTCCAAGCAAGATACTAAGTCGCATCATCCTGGAGAGAATCAAACAAGCCCTAGATGAAAAACTTCGTCCGGAACAGGCTGGATTCAGGAGAAACAAATCATGTATTGATCAAATCGCCACTCTACGGATCATCATTGAACAAAGCTTGGAATGGCAGTCACCTCTCTATCTCAACTTCATCGACTTTGAAAAGGCCTTCGACAGCGTCGATCGAGAGGTCATTTGGAAACTACTTCGCTACTACGGGGTCCCATCGACAATTATACACCTCATCCAACAGTTATACGACAATGCTGCATGCCAAGTAATCCACAACGGGAAACTTACGGAAGCCTTCGAAGTGAGGACGGGAGTGAGGCAAGGCTGTCTACTATCACCAATGATCTTCCTGATTGCAATTGATTGGATAATGCGACAGACAACGGCAACCAACGAGGGAACAGGCATAAAATGGACTGACACAAAAGACTTGGAGGATCTGGATTTCGCCGATGATATATGTCTGATTTCCCATAAACTGGAAGATATGCAAGTGAAAAGTAACAAGTTGGCAGAAGAAGCATCAAAGATAGGACTTCACGTGAACATAGATAAAACAGAGATGATGAAGATTCCTAGCCAACATCAACAACACCAACAGACCACAATAAGCATAAATGGGAAGAACCTGAAAGAAACAACCTCCTTCACCTACCTGGGAAGCATCGTCTCAACTACAGGCGGAACTGACGAGGACATCAAAGCCAGAATCGGAAAAGCAAGACAAGCTTTCATTACTCTCAAATCTGTGTGGAGGTCAACAGCACTCAGCATCAAAAATAAGATCCGGATTTTCAACTCCAATGTGAAGTCAGTGCTACTATACGGATCAGAGACTTGGCGAGTCATAAAGAGCATCTCAAACAAACTTCAAACCTTCATTAACAACTGTCTCCGCTCAATACTCAAGATCAGATGGCCAGAAAAGATCAGCAACAGGGATCTCTGGGAGCGAACCAATCAGGAACCGATTGTGAAACAAATAGGCAGAAAGAAATGGAGATGGATTGGCCATACGCTGAGGAAACCATCAAGTGACATCACTAGACAAGCCCTCGAGTGGAACCCGAAAGGGAGGCGGCGAGTTGGTCGTCCAAGGGTGACTTGGAGGAGGTCATGCGAGGAGGAGATGAAAGCATGTGGACAGACCTGGAGCAGGGTGAAAAAGTTGTCAGAAAACCGAAGTCAATGGAGGTGCGCAGCTGAAGCCCTATGTTCCTCTAGGAACTAAAGGATACAATAATAATAATAAATAATACCGTCAATGTATGTGAAATGTAGGATCACCAGACTATATCATACTATTTATTCCTTTTGTTCTGAGGGAAGCATAGACCTTTAGCAGCTTATCCTTATTGTGCTCTGATCTTTGCAGTCATTTTTAATTGGTTCCATGGTTGCTTACAAGCTTTCATTCAGTCCTTTCATGATCTGCGCATTTTCAACCCCAAGCGTCAATCCAGCCGCTTCTTATTAGGATTCTACTTTGAGAACCTGTCCTGTTGTATGATGTCATTCGGCGGTGTCCGTAGAGAATGTCTGATCCATCTCTGTTCCATCCTGCATGTTAGTTAGTAGATAGGATTTGAAGGCTTTTTTTGAAACAGAATATCTGTCCTTCACTGTCGGAGGAAGCAGTATAGGTGATACAATTCGAATTCGACTGAAGTTCTTGTTCCATTTAGGAGTTAGACGCCTTATCCGTTAGCCCACGTGCATCGGTGGTTCAACGCTCGCTAAACGTATACGTGGTCTGGGGTTCGATCCCACACTGTGACGCACTCCTAAACCTCTCTAGCCATTAATAAGACCATTAAAGAGGGAAGGTTGGGCTCTTTTTAAAAATAAACACTACTACTATTACTACTACTACTACTACCGAAACTGAAAAGCTCTAGCTTAAAGCCCTATGTTCCACATAGAACGTTAAGGATTAAAGTAATAGAAGTTCTGGTTGAAGTGGGTGTTTCTTCTCCCTTTTTTTCGCATTCATCATTAAGTTTTGGCTAGTGGAGGAAACTCATATGTTCGAGTGGTTTTCATTACAAATTGACATCAATTGAAGAATCATCGAAAGCCAAGAATTGCTGGACAGCTATTTCGCCTTAATTTGGAAGTCTGTAGCTTTTTGTATTTATGAGTCAAGGATCTTCAGGTTATATTGTGGTGAAAGCTGTCTGTAAGACAAAATTGTTGATAGAAATTGATGTCACTGTTCGCGTCCCAAATCGGGGTCATGAGAAAAAACCAGAACAAAGCCTAACCTTGAGGAACTCACCAACCAATCACAGCAGACTTGGAGTGGGCGGATGCAATTCGCAGATATATCACCGGACTGTCTAAGAAACGACAACAAAGAGGTGACAGAATAAACTTCAGCAGGAAAACAACCAATCAGGAGACTTTGCTTCTCTGCTAATAACAACGAATAATAATGTACATAAAAGTCTATTGGTATTAGATGGTTGGAGGCAATCGGCCACAGGAAGCCTTGGACATAGGTTTCGTGCTAGTTGCCACTCACCACTCAGCAAGGCGCATCTGCAACCAGGTTGAAGGAACTCATGTTCCCTCTGAGATTCGAACCCGCGTCACCCAGTGGTGCAGTCAGAGACGTAACCACTGAGCTATTCGGGCTCGCAATCGACCTCCTGTAGGACTGTATTGGATATTTTTGATTGCATACTAGTCAGTAACTAGTATAGTGTGTCTAGTCCTATCTTCACTGCAGACTGAATTCTATCAGTCAAGCTTGCAATGTGGCCACCATGCTAGTATGCAATCAAAAATATCCAATACAGTCCTACGGGAGGTCGATTGCGAGCCTGAATAGCTCAGTGGTTACGTCTCTGACTGCACCACTGGGTGACGCGGGTTCGAATCTCAGAGGGAACATGAGTTCCTTCAACCTGGTTGCAGATGCGCCTTGCTGAGTGGTGAGTGGCAACTAGCACGAAACCTATGTCCAAGGCTTCCTGTGGCCGATTGCATCCAACCATCTAGTACCAACAATTCACAGTGCACCGTAATGGCGAGCCACCTAGCATGGTGGCCACATTGCAAGCTTGACTGAAAGAATTCAGTCTGCAGTGAAGATAGTACTAAACACATTACACTAGTTACGGACTACCATGCAATGAAAAATATAAAAATCTGTGAATATCTGTTGATTTCCTCAATAAACGATCTGTTACCTGGCCCTTGTCTTCTTTCGTTACAATATGAGCTGAGCATGCCCTCATTTAGTCTCCTGGACTGTATCTAATAAAATTAAAATTCATCGGCTATAGGAGAATGAGTGATAATGTGCTCACCTCATGATTCGAAGGTCTAAATAATCCAGAATTTGGAGGCAACGGATATTCAAATCCACTGATGGTGATGTATCATGACTGTATGATACGTCTAAAGTACTTAATGCGAGACTGTATCTTTGTCATTCAGTTCTAGACATGTCTGATTTCACCTACCAGGTAGTTTGAAAAGTGGCCTAGTTGGACTCTTACAATCTACAAATAACTAAATGGGGAAGAAATTTTCTGATTTATGTGATATTCATTTTACTAATCATAATTAGTACTCGTTTTTCTGCTCCTACAGGTTATGCTTACATTAGGTTTCCTTGTTAGTGTTGTCTTATACAAGTTGGTTATCAAGGCAATGTTATACCGACATCATAATCCAATGCTACAAAGTACAGCTGGTATGATCGCTACAATGACTGGATCATGTATTAATTTAGTTGTAATCTTCATTATGAAATTAGTAAGTGACTTTTGATTTTAAATTATGCAATACTACTCTAAGCTATATTCCATGTGTAATGAAGATTTTATTGGATTATCTGATGTAGTAATCTATTCACTTTTATTCTCTATTTCCCATTGATTTGTTTTTTTTAAAAACTTCATGCAATTCTTCTCATCAATAAACTTGAACAAAGCAAGAACAACAATTGTACGAGCTCAAGTGGTTACGACCTGAACGATAAAAATATGAATTACATTAAAGATATGAACATACTTATCCACGATCGCAAGGAGTAATTGGTAGGAATTAAAAGTAACATTAGTCCGGAATGATTTAACTGATTAGGAGTTACAAACACTGACTATTTATAGAATAATTAGGCTTGGAAACAAAAAAAAACAGGGTTGCGTATGTGTAGGAGACGTCATGTTGAAAAAGTGAAAAGCAGCACAGTAGATAAAAAGCCTATCTTTCTGCAGCTTGCATTCAAAAGTTATGATACTGCTTGTAGAATAAGATGCAGACTGAACGCTTCCCTGAAAGGAATATATGTAACCGCCAAGCTTGTATGTGCTTATCAAACAACTAGTTGTTTGAGACAATCAAAAGTGGACAAATACCCACCTCATGTTACCTCCAACTGTGTCTACCAATTTACATGTACGTGCCAAAGCACATACATTGGAAGAACAGAGAGAAGGGTTATTGTCCGCATTTATGAACACATACCAAAGAACCTGAGACTAAAAGGTTCGAAAGCATTAAACAGTGCGATTGCTCGTCATCTATTGGACACTGGTCATCATGTAGACAGCCTGAATTCGTTCAAAATAATCAACAAGCAAAAGAAACCTAGCTTGCTACGCTTCGCTGAAGCAATTGCTATCAAACGACTTAAACCAAATCTATGTACGCGGAAAGAGACAGTGGTGAATCTTCCACTGCCCTGGTGATAACAAGAAGTATACAACTTTCATGAGTCACCTTTTTCATGTTTAGAAAACTCTACCCTCTCATCTAAACATGACTCACCGTGCCTTGTTTCTTTTCTTTCTTTTTTTCTGTTGGCTATTAGATAAGACGTTTTTTTTAGTTACATAATCTACTTTCTCGTTATGATCTTTCTAGCTAAACCTTGTTTCTATACACACACATATATACGCAACCCTGTTTTTTGTTTCCAAGTCTAATTATTCTATAAATAGTCAGTGTTTGTAACTCCTAATCAGTTAAATCATTCCGGACTAATGTTACTTTTACTCCCTACCAATTACTCCTTATGATCGTGGATAAGTATGTTCATATCTTTAATGTAATTCATATTTTTTAACGTTCACCTTGTAACCAGTTGAGAAGAATCCTCGAAATAATAAAAGATGAGCTCATATTATCCTGGTACAATTGTTGTTCTTGCATTGTTTTTTTTTGTTTGACCGAAATGTTCTGTCTCTGTTGGCATGATGGCTCTTAGTGCGGATGCTTCGACGATGTTTGAAAAATCAAGTGACATTATTTGGTTGATGGTGGCCAGTATTGGGATTTAGTAAATGCGCGTTTTTGTCCTGTTGGGGACTCTTCAGGTGGATGTATTTTCATCTTCAGTGAGTGACGGTGTTTTCACTCATAATTAAGAGATTTGAAGAAACCTGAATAAATGACATTTGATACCTTTTGCTCGAGAAGTGGTTCTAATGTTCTTGTGGTCTGGCGGCTAACGCTTTCACATTTGAAATAGTGAGTACGGAGTTCGGGCTTGTTTAGTAAGTCCATCGCTTACTAGGGATGCAAGTATATTCATGTGTGACGAGGCCTGAGTGAGAATTAATATACATCTTGGATTCCAGTGCTATTCACCATGACTCAAACAACATGATATTGTACTGCTAAAGCGTAATTTTTTTCAGTCTTTTTGTCTTCGTTTTATAAGAAAAAGGCACAAACAGCGAAGAGAATTTTCTTTTCGACAATTCATTTTCATTAGCTGTACAATCATAATTATGTTTAACAAAGAAATGTTTAGACTAATCAGATACTGGTAAACTTTGTATAAGAAGGGATGACTAATTGTAAGTTAGAAAAGAGACAGAAGTTGGCATGACTCAATAAGTGTGAGATAATGACTAATCAATAAGCTCGTGTAGAATGGACGGGAACTAGTGGAATGGCGATTATCTCACGCTTATTACGTCATGCCAACTTCTGTCTCTTTTCTAACTTATAGCGCTTCCGTCAACCAAGTATCTGCTTCATACTGACACCATCGGGCGACGACGTCTCATTAGAAATTCGGGATATCTATCCACTATCCATTGACATAGTGTCAGATTTTAGGTTTTGAATAATTTTAGCTGTTTTATATAAATTACTAATCCATGGCCGCTTTAAATTTTTACATTGACAGATTTATGATCGTATGGCTATCAAGTTGACAGATGCTGAAAATCATCGTACACAAGTGGAATATGATAATAGTTTAACATTGAAGTTGTACTTATTACAATTTGTTAACTATTATTCCTCTGTATTTTATATTGCATTTATACAAGGCACAACATCAGCCCTTCCCGGTAGTGAACATATATTGATTCAGTCAACTGGAGTAAGTACATACACATCGGGGAGCACACCTATTATCTTTTTCTTTAAAGTTTTCTGGTCATAATTGAGCTAAGTTGTGTCTAGTTGGTTGAAAAGTTTGTACCGCAAATCTTGGCCACAGCAGCATTCTAACCAGTGGCCCTCTGAATTCCTAGTCTAGCGCTTTACCAGCTGGCCTATGAAACCAAGCTGTTGATGAAGGTATTACTTTCACTACGAGTAGTGATGCTCAGTTGTCATATGGATTAAGGGCATGTTAATATGTATTCATTCAATACCAATCATTGCACTGTGCGTCAGTAGTACATGTGGTCCGGGATTTAATCCCCAGTCAACGCAATCCCCGTTCAGCTGGTAGTAACCACAGTGTGAAGAAGGCAGGTTGTGGTGCGTCATGCTAGCAACCCCAATTCATAAAAATAAAACCACCGCTACTGAAACTCCGAAGCTCTAGCTAGAATCCCCATGTTCCACTCAGAACACAAAGGAATAAAATAAGTGGTAGATTTAAAAATCATTACGTTAGCTTTTCAGCTACCTCTTCATTCGTCAATCAGCTGGAAAGTTGCAGTTTTCTTTGATGGTTAAACAGTCTTGCGTCACCGAGGCCTCTAGAAGCTTAGTAATAGTAAAGCTTTATTTCAGACCATAATAATATAATGACGATTCATATTCACAATAATGTCTCACTTATTTTTCATTTTAAAGTATATACTACTGATTAATGGATATAAGTAGTGGGATGACAGTAAGAGCTTTACAATGCTGTCATCCAAACTTGAGAACATATAACTTGATTTGAATAGTCTTTTGATCTCTTTGATTTCACAGGACAACTTAGATTTAAGGGAAAAAATGAAACATGCATACCCTCGAAGTCCTAAATATCTTCTCTTTATCAGTCGAAAATGAGTATCAGACAAGATTTAATTTAATTATTTTCTAATATTTAATTTAATTATTCAGATCTTCGGTCTTCTGGTGACTTTTTTCATTAGATTCAGGGTAGATTGTGTCATGAACTGACGCATCAACCACTTGCTGCCATCATTTAGAGAATAATTAGAAACTACGGAGCCAATGGGCACGTGTATTGTGCTGGTGTTACCATTTTTAGGATGGAACCTTGCTCCTCCAGGTTGCGAGGCGAGCCTTTCTTCCCTTTAAGACATTACGTTGGAACTCAGTGACTTGTGAACTATAACTTCTATCAGTTTTCTGTATGTTGCCATTGCCAAACCACTTCACACCCCCATCTTGGCAGATATAACCTGTAACTACTTCTCATTAGATTTAGGGTTTTGTTTGGAAAATTTTGGTTGACTTCAATATCAATTAGATATACACTGAATAATTTTGTGAATTTGTAGGTTCTCTCTTCGAGCTCTAACGGTGTGGTGGATGATAACACTTGAAGAGTCTCAAACTAGGGTGAAACAGTCAAGCTGTCCAGTGCTCCTTAGGCTCCAGTGGTTCTCAAACTCACATGTCAGTTCTTGAGATGAAGCCTTTACTGAGGCTTCATCGTTGTCAATTTTATTGCGATCAAATTATTTATGATATTGTTCATCATTAAAAATGATTTCCCTACTTGTTAACTTACTATTGGCCTATTATTATTGTTATTATTATTCTTTTGATAGTGTGATCAAGGTGATTGTTTATTTGAATTGTTCATACAATTAGTAATAATTATGGTTGGTAAACAAATATTTGGTTTTATCCAGGAGTCTTTAATGCCGTAAGTTGCTGTCGTTGTTGTTGTTGTTGTTGCTGCTGCTGTCATTGTTGTTTTTTAATCATAAAATACAATCTGAATCATAAATAAATCAATAATGTTTACATTTCTAAGAATATATGCGTGAGTAGATGCCATTCTTCTCCATTTCGGTGTGTATTGTTAAAGTGCTGGGCATTCCAAAGGGATATTCAAGTTCTTACTTTCAGGGCTTTGTATTTAAAGTAATTAAAGCTTTGGAAAGGAGATGGAGTACATTTCATTTAGCAATTGTATTTCATTAATGTAGAACTGTTCATCCCAAGCAAAATACTGAGCTGCATCATCCTGGAGAGAATCAAACAAGCCACCCTTGATGAAAAACTTTGAACGGAACAAGCTGGATTCAGGAGAAACAAGTCATGTATTGATGAAATCGGCACACCTACGGATCATCTTTGAACAAAGCTTGGAATGGCAGTCACCTCTCTATCTCAACTTCATCAACTTTGAAAAGGCCTTCGGTAGCGTAGCGTCGATCGAGAGGTCATTTGGCAACTACTTCGCTACTACGGGGTCCCATCGACAATTATACATCTCATCCAACAGTTGGTTGTACTACAATGCTGCAAGCGAAGTAATCCACAACGGGAAACTTACGGAATCCTTCGAAGTGAGGATGGGAGTGAGGCAAGGCTGTCTACTATCGCCAATGTTTTTCCTGATTGAATTAGATTGGATAATGCGACAGACAACGGGAAATGAGGAAACAGGCATTAAATGGACTCACACAAAAATAACTTGGAGGATCTGGAGTTCGCCGATGATATAAGTCTGATCTTCCACAAACTGGGAGATATGCAAGTGAGAAGCAACAAGTTGGCCATAGAAGAAGCATCAAAGTTAGGACTTCAAGTGAACATGGAGAAAACAGAGGTGATGAAGATTCCTGGCCAACACCAACAGCAACAACAATAACAGACAACAATTAGCATAAACAGGAGGAACCTGAAAGAAACAACCTCCTTTACCTACCTACCTACCTACCTGGGATGCATCGTTTCAACTACAGGCCGAGGGAACTGGCGAGGATATCAAAGCAAGAATCGGAAAAGCAAGACAAGCTTCAATACTCTTAAGTCTGTATGGAGGTCAACAGCACTCAGCATCAAAAATAACATCCGGATTTTCAACTCCAATGTGAAGTCAGTCAGTTCTACTATACGGATAAGAGGCTTGGTGCGTCATAAAGAGCATCTCAAACAAACTCCAGATCTTCATTAACAGTTGTCTTTGCTTAATACTATTGATGATCAGATGGCTGGCCAGAAAAGATCAGCAACAGGCGTCTCTGGGATCAAACCAACCAGGAGGCGATTGTGAAACAAACGGGCAAGAAGAAGTGGAGGTGGATTGGCCATACTCTGAGGAAACCATCAAGTGACTTCACTAGACAACCCATCTCTCGAGTGGAGCCCGAAAGGGAAGCGGCGAGTTGTTCGTCAGTGCAAGGGTGACTTGGAGGAGGTCATGTGAAGAGGAGATGAAAGCATGTGGGAGACTTGGAGCGGGGTGAAAACTTTGGCAAAAGACCGAACGTAATAGAGATGCGCGGTTGAAGCCCTATGTTCCTCTAGGAATTAAAGGAAATAATAATATAATAATTATATATACTTGTGTATTTTTTTATTTTATCATAACTTGATTCCACTCAGTATTTTGGTACAAGAATGGAGTTTCCACCATGTGACACCGGTAGCCCAAACTTAGCAGGCCAACCATTGACATCAGGTGCGCGTCGGCCGGGAAACGAACCCAGGACCATGTGAATAGTCGGCGAGCGTCCAAACTGTTATGTCATCGACACATTTTGAAAATCTCTGTGCTGACAAATGATTACACAGACAACCAGTAAATACAATCAGTCTTTTCGATGAAATAAGTTTATGTCGATGAACTGAAAAAATTAAGGCGGTATAGGTCACCAAAAGATATTCTTTTCGTAACTTCAAAGCTGTACAGTTATGCACTGTTCTAAGAGGAAGGAAATGAAACTGATGTTGGAAGCAGTCGGGTGGAATGCCAGGTTTCGTGGTTATTGGCATTTGTCAACTGCGTGTATATTATGCAACCTTGAAAGGACTGAAATTTTCATTGGTGCCTGGAAGTCACATCGCATATAGGTGTATTTAGAGACGTTATCGTTGAACTAATCGTGCTCGCGATTGGTCTTCTGTTGGCTTGTATAGTTTTCATTGAACATTTAATGGTTGAGTAACTAATCAGCCTAATAGAAATAAAAATAATGTAGACTATATCTATTGCAGTAAGAGAAGTGAGGCACGAACATGCTGAAATGGGTAAATATTTTGGCATACTTATGAAAGCATAAATCAAACTCATTGTTCGAGGGATGAAACTTTCACTACAGTCTCCTCTGGAAACCAAATTATTCAGATCACAGTATACGATCTGCTTGTTCCCATATATGGTCATCAAAAAAGGTAGCATATTTACATAAGACTCTATAGTAGCGATCGATTAAGATAAGTAGTTGTATACCACTCATATCATCAACGAGTCGAGTGATTGCCAGACAAATTGAAGCGATCTGAACTTCGAATGGGCGTTTCACTCTTTCCGAGCCGAGCTCATCAGGGATGCCACAGGTCTGACTCATCTTAGCGAGGTGAATCAGTTGAAACAACACCCCGATTTCTGGCAAGTTACTTGGTCGAACTGGTGATACCTTAAATCAAATACGCAATATAGGGTGTGATCGTCTTTGAACGAGCGAAGCGCATCACCTCTCTCTGTCTGTCAAGCATTACTGGCGTTTATATAAGTAGTATACAATCACTCATACTACTCGTTCAACCTTCATTATGTAGTTTTGTACAATTATGAAGAGATAAACCTGATAATACAACTTGGATATCAAGAAATGTATTATATACAGGTAAATAATAGTATTAAGAAAAGAATACATCGTATACATACATGCACGCAGAACGACTTTTGTCACTTTTTATATTACCTCTGGTAGTTATAAAAAACAAAAAGACATTGTAGAAGAGTTTTTACTCACTGGGAGCTGTAAGATCTTTCATTGATGTGATAGTCAGGCTGGCACATCGCAATGAACTAATGAACTACACTTGTCAGAACTAGTGGTCATGCAGCGCCTACCTTGCAAGGGAAGTTGTTTGCATAGAGAATGGATTAAAAGCAGTCCCCATCATAGTGTAAGTCTCTCGTAATATTTTGACTGGGGGTTTGTTGATAGAGTTCTATAACTGGCCACTAGGGATGTGGCAGTAATGAGATTTTCCCTTGGACGAATGATGAATGCTTCCCCTACACTCTAGGAGAGCGAGGATTAGAAAAGGCTGAATCCGGGAATTTTATATTCTTACTTACCCATTGGCTATCTGTGGCCAATGCTGAGGTCTAAATACAAACACAACCCGGAAAAAGAACTCAAGTACGCCGTGTGTGTAGCCACACTCAAATGGTTGTTTCTTGGACTTTGTAGTCGCATAACATTAATGCTACCTCTGTTTCAGGCATTTGAAGAAGAAATCAACTTCCATAGTATGGGTAGTTGGGAAACAATGACTGCCTACCTACGTCCACAATTGCACAAAGTCTTCCTCATCACCACTCTCCCTCATTTTCAATCGTTTGATCGACATTATTTCTTTATAAATTGTCTTCTGTTTCACCACCTCATTTTCCACCACTTTCTTCTTTTTCTTTTTACTTCATATTTAGTGTTTTATGGAAAGTGTTCTTTAAATTTCGTGCAATGAAACGTAGAAGTACTGTTTTCGCTAAAGTCAATAGTACTGATGGTGAGAATAATGTTGTTGGCCAAAAACCAGATAATCTACCGACTAATATTGTCAATACACAATTTAGTGGGATATGCAGACGTAATATTCTTTGTCGTTCTGATTTTTATATGCTTGATCCTGGTTCTAGACCATTGTTCAATGAATACTTGGAAATGAGTAAGTGATAGATATCCATCGTTTTACACTTGCTGTTGTTTTGATCGTCTTTTCTATTTAAAGTGGTGGATTGTAGAGATTTCCTTGATAACCGACACCCCAGTTAGGGAATCATTGAGAGCTAAATATCATCAGATAGCTGTTTTGCCCTAGTCTGGGACTGCTCAGCACTTTGCATCCACGATCGCATAAGGGATTGAACATTAAACCTTAAGGTTCTGAAGTGAGCCCTTTGCGCATTCAATTAAACGGTGGGTACCCAATAACACATATCAACCTGTAACTTATGTAAAATCGTGTGATATGTAGCGAGAGCACTATCCACCGTTATCAACGAGTGACTGTTATCACACTCGACAGAGTGAACTGCGCTGGTCACCACATCTTATGAGGAGTCCAGTGAATCCATCTTAGTGACTAAGTGGTTAACAGCCTCATCCTCAGGGTTCACTCCTTGATTGGATTTTAAGTGCTCATTGATGTAGAGTCCCAAGCATCTGTGATATCTGCTTGCAATGTAATCTGTCTGCTTCTATTACAAGTAAATATTCCTTTGTTTAATCGTTTTTATATTTTTATTTTAGTGATTCAATACGGATTCATTACAATGTTTGTTCCTGCATTTCCATTGGCTCCATTATTTGGTTTATTGAATAATTTATTCGAAATTCGTGGTGATGCTAAAAAATTAGTTAATCAATATCGTCGTCCTGTTCTCGAAAGAGTTCAAACAATAGGTAATATGCTTTGCTTAAAATCTTTCTTTTAATAAATTATCTATTTTGAAAATATACTATTTATTGATTTTAAGTAGTATGATGTATCCTCCACTTTGAATTATTTGTAAATATTGATTTTCCATGTAGGTTAACTAGAGTAACGTTAACCCTTCTCGGTTCTCTGGAGTGTAGGACGGGCTGGTAAATTAGACTGTAGATAATTTGGACTTTGTGAGATGACGTTGGAGGGCTTCATCATGAGCTGACGCCGGTTAGAGAACTATTAGAGAACCTAGGAGTACTGGATAAATGTTTCGTCCTAGTTTGGGACTCTTTAGCAGTACACACCCACAGCCAGCGTTCTAGTCCAGGACCTTCTGGTTATGAGGGGAGCCGGTACACCATTAAGCCAATGGGGCCTGATCAAATGGCCCATGAATTCTAACTTCTACCAAATCATGACATAGTGCGACCATTTCGCAATGTCTTCTTTGATGAGTTACTGCCTCACCTTCAACCTGCAGCAACCTATTGGTCACAGCTTCCCACTAGAACTCCAAGTGACTGCCTAAATAGGGCCAGAAGGTCCTGGGAACGAACCGCGGTGGATGCGTACTGTGAAGAGTCCCAAATAAGGACGAAACAGCTGTTTTTTTCGATGGTTCTCTGACTAATGTCAGCTCATGAATAAATTCTCCAACCAATCAAACAAAATCCAATGATTGAAGGTGACTTAAATTGATGTCGTACAAATTTGAGGATCTACAAGGGAGAACACCACTAAGTTGGGAGGATATGCACGGAAGACAGGTATTCCAGTAAACATAGATCAAGACAGAGGTGATGGAGATGTACAACCAACAACAATTAACACAATGAATCGGAGAAATCTGGAGACAATACTCGCTTTCACTTATCTATGCAGCACATGATGATTTGAAAGCCATTCACGATCGGATTGGTAAAGCATGATAGGCATTCATTACTACGTAACCAGTCACGAAATCCGCTTCACCCAATATAAGTAACGAAATCTGGATTTTGTACACTAATGTTAAGACAGTGATTCTATATAGTTCAGAAACATGGTTAAAGTGTCACTAAAAGCATTTTCAACAGGCTTCAGACTTCACTAGTCAGTGAAAAATTTCATACCTATGCATAGAAATAAATCATAGTTTTAATCTGATAATTATCCACTCTATAGAGGTTGTCTTTCATTCCTTTGCTTCTCGAATGGAATGTACAACCTCAAAATTTAGGCTTTGACGTTTCAGTTGTGGTGTTGACTGTTTTACGAAGTGGGGTTGCCAACGTCATGCTCAAACCTCTTTTTGGCTAGTAAACTAGGGGAAATTTTGGGAGTGCATAGTTTACGAATCGAAATCAGACCACCAGTAGGCTAAATAGATAGTAGTCTAACATGGATCTACCGATGAACTTAAGAGGTATATGACTTCTTCACTTTAGTTGAATTTTTACAATTGTTAGAGTCTTACTCTTGTCTAAGTGTAACAGCAGAAGACAAGGGCCAGGCAACAGATCGTTTTATTATGAAAATCAACACGTATTTATACATATTTCACGTACATTATTATAGCTTATGCAAGTAGACAAGCGCAGTCATCTGATTGGTTGTTTATCAGAAGTTGGGCAGACAAACGCAGGCTTCTGATTGGTTGTTTCGGGATTCCTCGACAAATAGAGTTCTCTATCTGCGAATCATATTTTGCCACGTTAACTTTGCTGTGATTGGTTGTTGAATCAGCCTTGCTCATATTTTCTCACGGCCTGCTCTCACCACATAAGTAGAAATGAACAGTTGAAAGGACTATCCTGCGTTTAGATCATTTAATCTACTTAGAGGCAACTTTCGACTGTCGTGATTAGTCACAGAGTACTGTTTTTAGTCTGTAGTGTATGCTTGATGAATCAACTGTAACGATCGACATCTGTGTGTGTGTGTATGCATGTTTTGGTTTCTTTTTTTGCCAACTCGATCGTTCATTTACCAAGTCTTATTAATTGCTGTTCCAGGTAATATTTTTTGTGATGTTTGAAAGAGAAGTGTGGTTTTAGATTTAATACATAAATGTGAAGAGAGAAAATTTGTGTAAGAAGAAGGATAAACTCTGCTATAGAACATAAGTGAATTCATCATAGTGAACATTCAGTTTGAGGATTAATGGCAAAAGTTGCATATCTGTATGAACTATTACTCATTATGAACGGCTTTCAGTTAAATGCTATCCACAGTGTGCAATCTATTTCCACATATTACTACGTAATGGCGCTTCGTAACAAAACTTTGTTTTCAAAGTGGGAAATTTTTATTATCCTATCATTGGGTTCTTTTACTAGCGACAGGTTGGTTTTGCTTCCTGAAGATGCTGACAAAAATGTTATTCTGTAAGCGTTTGACCGATATCAGGTTAAATATTCGTCATTTATTGACACATATTTGAAAAAAAAGGCATCATTGAGAACCAGGGAATACAGTATTTTTGTTCTAGTTTGAAACTCTTCAGCAGTACTCACACCAGTGAATGACCTAACCAGAGATCAAACTTGTGATAAGCCTTGTTCTGCCACCTCAATTTTAAATCGAATGAATGAAGTTCAGAATAGCATATCACTTACATCTGTAGAAGAGGAAGATAATTGTTTATCTTTCCTAGACATATTGCTTAGTCGACGGTTTGATGGGTCAATAAAAAGATCTATTTATAGAAAACCTACCTGGACAGGACAGTATCTTAATTACCACAGTTTCTGCCCTATTCGGTACAAAAGAGGCTTAGTAAGGTGCCTCTTCAGTAGAATCCGACGAATATGCACTGAAGACACGCTTGATGAAGAAGAAAGAATATTGACACAAACTCTGGTTGATAACAATTATCCAGAAAAGTTCATCAGGAGATATAAAGTAGTCAGTGGAACAATAAGAACCACTCTCCAACTCGCCCCTAAGAAAGACGTGTACATCAAGCTACCCTTTATGGGACATCAAAGCAGCTCGATAACTAGACAAAGGCTGAACGCTGCTGTTAAAAAGACTTTTTATGCAGCTAATATCATAATATTAGAGAATGTAAAGCCATTATATCTATCTAAGCCCTTCGAACATGCGAAAAATGACGTCACATCCCACTGTATTTACCAATTTGAATGTACGTGTGGACACACATACATAGGGAGGACTCATCGATCTCTGCAAGTAAGGGCTTCAGAGCATATTCCAAAATGGCTCCAGAAACAAATGGAATCATCAGAACCTATTAACGGTGAGAACAGGAGACCTAGCTCTTCTATTGCGAAACATATTATAGAGACAGGTCATAAAATTGATGTTAACAGATCTTTTAAACCTATCTATAAAACGTGTTTGGGGCGTATCCTAAAGCTTGTAGAAGCCCTAGCAATTAGAAAGTTCAAGCCACCTTTATGCGTTCAAAAACAATTTGTCATCACATTAAACCTTCCTTGGTAAATTTTGTTTTGATACCATAGCAGGTGTACTATTACCTCTGCTATTTGGCTTAGTGGTCTTCATTTTTATTTTTTGACCTTGAATATGTCCTTTTAACTTGACCTAAGTCTATTTTTCTCACCTCTTACCTCTTTATTAAAATTTTCTTTATCGACAAAATCATCTTCAGAGGCTGTACAGTCGTATTTATGCTTAGAAAAATGTATAGTGTTCTATTATTGAGTAATAGGGGGTGACATAATTGATATAATTAATCATAAGTGGCTTTAGAAGTGAAAATTAAAAGTTGTAAATTACATGATACTCAACGGAACAAAGATAGAAGTTTGATAAGGTTAAAATTGCTCTTGAGTGAGAATAAAGGTGGTAGTTGAGTGTCAATTTAACAAGTGTGAAGAGGGTGTGAAAATATACGAAAAGAGCATATGAAACTGATAATAGTGAATTAATTATTAAAGCAAAAGCAAACTAAGAGTAAAATTAAAAATTAAGAACAAAAGAAAAAATCAAAAATTCTTTTTTTACAGGGAACGATTAGTGAAGAGGTTAAGACCAAGGTAGAATAAGAGACTGGACAAACTTTTTCTGTATACAGAGTTCAGGGTTGTATTGATGAATTGCCAGCGCCTCCGCCATACACAAAAGCCGAAACCTGACGCCCTTTGTACAATTGGACTTCACTTTGTAGATGATGTTGAAAGACGACTCTGGTAGAGCTACGTGGCCTGAGTTCACCAAATGCTCGAGAATTGAGCTAGTAATTGTCTTGCATTGTCCCTTTGCTAACCATGCCGGATAACGTTCAGAGATGCGTTTGGAAAGCGTGCGCTTTGTGCGACCAATATAACTATAACCATGTAATTTACAACTTTTAATTTTCACTTCTAAAGCCACTTATGATTAATTATATCAATTATGTCACCCCCTATTACTCAATAATAGACCACTATACATTTTTCTAAGCATAAATACGACTGTACAGCCTCTGAAGATGATTTCGTCGATAAAGAAAATTTTCTCCGCTGAATCTGTCTTTTATCACTAATTCATTTTATCGGTTATATAACCTTTTTGTTGTATTACTGTTTAATGTAAAACTTATCAACAAGTCAGTATTAGTGAGGTCAGACATTCAGAGGGTGTTACTCTTTGAAATATCCGATGATTTAGATTTTCTTTTAATAAACAAACAAATCCTTTTGATTTTTACACAGGTATTTGGCTAACAATTATTCATGTTCTCGCGAGTATCGCCATCCGAACAAATGTAAGTTGTTCTCTCAGTATATATATATATGTATTCATCATTATCTTGCATTTCATCGGTATTCCTAAAAGAACCTTCTCCATAAATATACAAAGTAAACAAGAGTACTTTAGTGCTCTTCTAAGAGATCTAGAACGATAATTAGGTATTGTAATCTCGATTAAATATACACCCAAAACGTCTGAGTTATGCGTAAAATCCGGAACACAGGATTTCTTACAATTACAGTATTTTATTAATAAATAAGAAGTGATTGATTGGTCTAGGCACTTGGTTTCAAACCGATGGGACACGAATTTTAACTCCTCTCTATCTATGGAAATTCAGGCAGCCAGGCAGTATCAGTATGCCTTGCACAGTAGGTTTGGCTGATCGCCACCAACTGCATTGATATGGAAGTAGTTGTTGATTAACATTCCATTCATTTCATCTCACTCGAATGTGAAACGACGAGTGAGGCATCTGAGAGTGACATGGAGGAGATCGTGCAAAGAGAGGAGATGAGAGACTATGGGTGACCGCGTGGGGCTAGCTAAACAAGACTGCAGAAAATAGGACAAAGTGCTGCCGAGGCCCTGTGTTTCACTAGGAACCCAAGGGAACAATACTAATACTAATAATAGTCGAGAACAATCAACGCAAATTGCAAACTCCTAATAATGAGTCATCTAGCCTGATTACCGTCAAAAGGATAGTGATAGTAGCGTGTCAATATAATAAACAACACAGCTGTATTGAAAATGATTCACAAGTCAGTATTAGAAAATGTGCGGGAATGTACAACGAATGGAGAAATGGACGGAATATTCCCATATGGAGTCATGAGAAACAGATGACGTAAACAATGAGGAAAGTTTTCATTTCATGAAATCATCTTTAAGAGCTGCACAATCGCTGTACAAAACCAGTCAGTTACTAGGAAATTTGTTCCAGAGAGTATATTACATAAAGTGAGGTGTATTCTGGAAGGGAGTGTCTAATAGGAGACTTGAAAAAAGGGAGAGAAGTTGAAGTGACGTCATAAGTGTGAAGAATGGCCAGTCAATACAACTGTATAAAGAACACAGACATCAGTGAAAAGACCATAAGGTGTTTATATAAGGCCAGTATGGAAATCCTATGTTTCCAATAAACAATATTAGTGTGATTGTAAAATAATAACAATAAACTTACACAATAGAATGAAGCAAAATTATGGTAAGAAGGTTACTCTGGACATGGAAAGGCAAGTAGATGTATGTGGTCCTTATGAATGTATGAATTCGGGAAAAGTGATTTGCAATAAATAAGGTTCAACAGAGTATGACACATAAGGGAAATATGTACCAGTAATATAATTCAATAATAAGATGTTAATTACAACAAACGGAATAGAATCTTAACATGGCAAGTGGGTTCCAAATGGAACATAGGGTTTCAACAACACATCCCCAATATGTCCTTTTTTCTGCCATCCTCTTCAGCTAGGTCCACAATGGCTTAAAATTTCTTATCCATATCACACTCGGACCACCCACTCGTGTTATGATAAATAAAATTAAAATTGAACTACTTATTAATAATAAGTAGTATAGATTTTAACACAAAGAAAATATGGATGACGGAGTATCACATACAAGTTAAGAAAACAATCAACAAGTATCATTGATATAAGAATAAAACTTGTGCACTGTGGTAGAGTATAATTCCATTATGGGTAAATTTTGTTTTGATAAAGTCTCACAGTGTTGTTATACAGTAATGTTTACTGATGACTTTTAGAGCGTAAATTATTACTGCTCATAATTATATCAAGGTGCTCACACGATTTCCTAAATTCATTTATATAGTTCCATTATTTTTCACTTGATTTGATTGGCAGTAGTATTTCCCATTGAACAAATTATTGTAGGGATTCAGTTATGCCTCACATCTACTGTCTTTGAATCCCAAGGTAAAATATACAGACAAACAGAAGGTGTAGCAATGGGATCACCCTTATCGTAGCAGATATATTTATAGACAGCTGGGAAAATATGGCTCTTTATACATTCAATCCTACTCCCAAAATATGGTGGAGATATGTGGATGACACTTTCACAGTATTAAAAACAGAACATATCTCTAGCTTCTTGACACACATAAACTTACTAGTGGAGGGAATAAAATTCACATTTGAATCGGAAAATGAACAAGGAGAATTAGCTATGTTAGATTGTAAAATAAAACGAATAGAAGAAGGTAAAGTACACACTAGTGTGTACAGAAAACCAACTCATTCTAATAGATACTTAGACTTTAATTCATCTCATCCGTTGACTGTTAAGGCAGGCTTACTTAAGTGTTTAACAAACCGAGCAGTGGCACTAAGTAGCACAAAAAAAGATCTAAATGATGAAATAAAACAGGTAGAAGAAGCGTTGGTGTTGAATAACTATCCTATAAAATTCATTAGGAAGATCATTAAAGGCCAAAAACAAAATAAAAATAATTGTGAAACTAGTAACAATAACATAAATAAGAAAGAATATAAGTCATCCACAGTTATACCATATAAAGAGGGGACATCTGAGACACTACGTTGGATTTTGAATAAAATAGGAATTAGGGTGGCATTTAAACCTACAAACTCACTCAGGGACGAGCTGTGTAGGTTAAAGAACCCATTTGAACCAATTAGACAAAATAACATAGTTTACAAAATACCCTGCAATAACTGTGAGGTCAACTACATAGGTCAAACTAGTAGGTCAGGGGTAGTCAGATTGTCAGAGCATAAGAATTTAGCTAAGGTAAGAATGGTTGACCCTGAAAAGATAAGTAATTTAGAAAGAAGCTCAGCAATCGCAATGCATGCATTAACACACAACCACACAATAGGGTAGGAGAGGGTTACAATTCTAAAAGGTAATCTAGGTAGGTGGAGAGAGAGGTTGATTACTGAATCCTTGTTCATCGAGTCTACACCCAACACACGCAATAGGAATAACTCATCACTCATACCTGAAATATGAAAAATACTATTACCAATCAAATCAAGGGAAAATCAAGTGAAAAATAATGGAACTATATAAATGAAGTTAGGATGTCGTGTGAGTACCTTGATATGATTATGAGAGGCAATAAATTGTGCGCGAAACGTCATCAGTAAACATTACTGTATAACAACACTGTGAGACTTTGTCAAAACAAAAATTTACCCATAATGGAATCAACAAGTATCGCTGTGTTTGCTTTTCGATATATAATCTAGAAATGTCATTAATACCTATTATGAGTCAAAGACATATATATATATATATATATATATATATATATATATATATATATATATATACTGCATTTCGTTGTTATCAGTTTGACTGCTTTTGAAAATTGTTGTAATCTGCTACTTTTCCAGCATTGGCAGCTATACATTGAGGTGAAGAGATGAGTATATTCCACTTGTCTTGTGTGTAAAGCATTATGATGTTATAATAAAATTAAATGATAGTAACAGGAGCGTATCTCTTTCAATTAAATCATGCGTTGAGAAATGTTATCAAACTGGAAACTCCGATTTATGGCACAACACGTCTCATCAATTTAATCGAACAAATATATAACTGTTTTTATAATACACTGAAGAAATGCTTACATGACAAAGTAACTCTTAAATGTTTTGGTGTATTAAACAATTATCTTCCGTACTCCTTGAATGAATGACCTTTGGTTGTATGTTTAGTTAGATTGGGACTTCGGAGTTGCTTTTATTACTACTATACTATTATTATTGCTAGCTGTGATTTGCTCCGAAGAATTTCACCTTCGTGCTCTATTCGATGAAGCATACTTGTAACTTGAGGACTGATGATCCGAATCAGTTATCCGGAAGGCGAATGAGATGGATCTGGGTTCGAACTCAGCTCATCTTGTAGTAATGTAGTTAGAAAATACATTGAACTATTCTTTGTTTTTAGCTGTGTTACTGACAATAATTATAAAACGTATATTCTATAGTGTTTCTCCACTAGTTGAGTGTATTCGCATACTACTCATGAACACTGGTTTATCCTTCATATTGTGAATGATTGGAGGATGGACGGTGTGAGGCACACTCTCTTAATCCATTCAAAAACTGAGGATTTTTCGTTAACTGAAAATTTAGTTACGTCCGCTCTAAACTGTTTGAATAGCTTATACTATCAGCCGATAGGAGTGTATGCTCAATGCTGGATTTAAAAAATTCCCCTGGACACTTTTTGCAGTTATATTTGCGCCTAAAATTCTTCTTTTGCTCATAAAGATTGCATATTTTTCTCATTCCTGATTGTTTTTCCTGCCAAATTTCAATTTTAGGCGTGTATTATTGCATTCACTACACAATTTATTGACCGATGCGTCTATCGATATTCTTACAGTCCAGATGGAAGTATGAAAGGCTTTGTGAATTTCACTCTTTCCTATATGTCAACAAATCGTTTTCATCTACCAACTAATGAAACGTATTGCAGGTAATTCATATATGTTGATATTTACAATAGAAAAAGGTTCTGTTAACAGACTACACTGGTTTTTCACACACACATATATTACAGTATTTGACTTTCAGTTGACCTTTAGTGGAGTATAAGTCACGGTTTGTATGAAGGACTTCATATAAAGAGAAAATACAATCTTTTTCGTCATCATTGAGCCATCTAAAAAAGACAGAACAGATCTGAGTGCGATGGCAATGTGCTGCTGAAGCGATGCTTTACACTCGTAATCCAAGGGATGAATTATTATTATTATTAGTGTTTCCTTTAGTTCCTAGAGGAACATAAGGCTTCAGTCGCACGTCTCCATTGCGTTCGGTTCTTTGCCAATGTTTTCATCTGGCTCTACGTCTGCCCACATGCTTTCATCTCCTGTTTGCATCACCTCCTCCATGTTACTGTCTCACTGACGACCAACTCGCCGCTTCCCATTCGGGTTCACTTGAGCGATGGCTTGGCGTCTGATGTCACTTGATGATGGTTTGTTTTCTCAGAGTATAGTCAGTCCACCTCCATTTCTTCCTGCATATTTGTTTCACAATCGGTTCCTGCTGGATTGGTTCGCTCATTGCGAGGAATCCCTGTTGCTGATCTTTTCTGGCTGGCCATCTGATCTTGAGTATTGAGCGAAGAGAACTGTTAATGAAGATCTGAAGTTTGTTTGAGATGTTCTTTATGACGCGCCGAGTCTCTGATCCGTATAGTAGGGAGCACTGACTTCACATTGGAGTTGAACATCCGGATCTTATTTTTTTCATGCTGAGTCCTGTTGATCACCACACAGACTTAAGAGTAATGAAAGCTTGCCTTGCTTTTGTGATCTTCGTTTTGATGTCTTCGTCAGTTCTGTCTGCCTGTAGTTGAAACGGTGGTTCCCAGGTTGGTAAAGGAGGTTGTTTCTTTCAGGTTCCTCCCACTTATGCTGGCTGATTGTTGTCTGTTGTTGTTGGCCAGGAATCTCTATCACCTCTGTTGTATCTTTGTTCACTTGAAGAGCTATCTTTGATGCTTCTTCTATGGCCAGCTTGTTGCTTTTCACTTACATAGTAATGGATATCAGTTAGTGTAAAACAGTCACAAAATACAAAACAGTTAGTTAGAGATAATAATAGTCAACAAGATTATATCCACAGGTTCACTGCTCGAAGTTAAACGAATAATAATAAAAATAATAAATAGGTTGTTGGCTAGTTACATACCAGAATTCCCTGGCGCTGTTTATTTGTTGCCAGCCATCTTATCTGTAGTTTCAAACCAAGAGATAGACATAACAGCTGTTGATGGAAGTTCAAATTTTAGGAAACGCAAGCAGCAGGACTCTGGACCGTAAAGAGAGACGCACTGGATTGATATCATTGTTAAAGATCCGGATGTTGTTACCTGTGTTGAGTGTAATATAGATCTGTTCATCGCCGATTTCAAGGTAATGATTTTCGTTTCAACATTTTCATCCGGAACGCCTATAGTTGAAACGATACTGTCTAGATAATTGAGAGTAATGTGAATTCCTTAAAAGGTCTCTCTTGTTAATCGTGATTAGTCTACGTTTGTTAGTAACAGCATATTTTCATCACCTCTGTCTTGATCTGTTGTAGAAAAAACAACAAGTTGAGCAAAGAAATATGCATTCCTTTTCAATTAGTTCCTTATCATCGTCTGCTCTACACACTAATATGTAGTTTTTAAATCGAAATTTATTTTTACCAATTAAATCGTTATTTTAGTTAATCATTTTTAGGTATAAATGTGTGTGTGTGTGTGTGTGTGGTGAAATTAAGATGTTAAAAGTCATAAGAACAATTACCTAATACATGTTACTGACAAGATATCCAAGTTTTGAAGGAGGTGTGAAAATTAATTATGGAATTCAAGATAATTCAAGTTAATTCTTAGGCGTTGGGAACAAGTTATTACATAATCTAGAAATTTGTTTAATTAGCATTGATAACTAAGAAGAATAGGATGACTTAGAAGAGTTACGTAAAATGCAAACAAGTCAATAGAATTAGCTAGAATTGTAAAAATTAACAAAGTCAGAAATTAGTTACAAGGAGAGGGGAGGGGAAAATCATGTTTAAAAACCTAATATATATCATGTAGTTGGCCGTCGTAAAGGGAGATGCCGTAAAAGTGTTTTTTCAACACGCACAGATTTGGCTTGTTTAAATGAATTCCGATTGTCTCTAGTGTAGGTAAAAATCGTACTAGAAGACCATGAGGCGATATACGATAGATAACTGTAAAAGCTTCTTTAGAGTCGACTTAACGTCCAGTCAGTATCGACGAGATGAGCTAGTATTGAGCTGTGCATGGCAGCTTTATTTGGGCCTTTGTTAAACCAAGATAGGGTGAAGGTGGTGGTGGTGGTGTTCAGAAATTTGACGATGAACTTGCCTGATCGTAAGCCCAATGTAACTAGCTCCGCACTTATGGGAAAGGTGAAGCATGGCAGTCCTGCGTTTGCTGCTTCTTCTGTGAACCTTTTGGTTTTCCCCTATAGATCTCAGGGTTGTTATTGCAACACTGGATATAAATCATCAACAAAGTCAAGATCTAGTATTCTTATCGTTATAACGTATACCTGTCTTCTTGATTCCCACAGTATATTGCATAATTCAGTCTATCATAATTAGAAATATCACTCGATGATAGTAAGCAGTCTTGTCCCACTTGTGTATTTACTTTAAAAGCTTCGCTGTTGTGAATCACTTCACATGCAGTGTCATCTTATAGGTGCTGATCAAGGTTCATAAAATACACATTTGAATACTTGCATCTCACTATAAAACTTTGTTACGTTTTGTCTCTGTAAATCTATGTTTCTCGTTTCTTTTGAAATATTTTTTCTTAGATATGACGCATATCGTACTGCACCATGGTCCCCTGAACCCTATGCTTTCACTACAGTCTATTATCATGTTTTGGCGGCTAAATTTATTTTTGTCTTCGCTTTTGAAGTAAGTTGAAAGTCTGAATCAACAATAACAACAACACTTCCTCATTTGAGTTATTTAAGCACCCACGCATACACACACATATCCTCACATGTATACATACTAGGTTATTTTGAGTTGATTTTGTCCCAAGTCGATGTATCAGTGATAAGAGTACAAAAAATTGCGGAGCACTGGATAACTGTGCTCATTTGACCTATTTAGTGTCTTAACGTGTGCACCATTACTAGTGCTGGTTTCAACTCTTTAATCGGGTCAATGCTAAAAAAAATTCTAACGTTGAACAAAACAGTTGTTCAGTTCGTCTTGGTTTTTAATGACTCACTAAGCGAAAATGCTTTTGAGAAAATATACACTGAAAGTGATTTGATCTCTAAAAATCACAGAATTGTGATTATGAATCTTCGAGGTGAGTAGTAAGCTGTTCATGGCGATAGCGTTACAGTGTGAATTGATAGAAATTATAGTTCATAGGATATCTCATTCCTACTCAGTATTAGTTACATGTTAAACATGTGCGTCGGTTTTGATGAGGTTGTGTTCTCTGACCTGGATAGTTGATTTTTTGGGAAGCTTTCATCACCCTACTAGGTGTGACATCTTCAGCGAATACTTCAATCCCATGAAGTGAGCTTTTAGATTTCTCCACGAGTTTATTAATCATCTCTCCTGATCGGTGACATTGGATGTGATTAGTTGTTTTTGTGTGTTTTCACACCTTCTAGGCTACTTGTATTGGAACTGATTGTTTCTTTGACTTGAACTTTGACCCTTTGTGTGTGGCATTTCATTCTTATCGGTTGATAAATTTCGTCTATCTCGATGTATCTATGGATTGACGATTCACTGGAATACCAGGCAGGTTTCTAAAAATTCTCTAGCATTTTTGTTGTTTCCTCTGTCTAATATTTGAACGTTGGTTGTCCCAGTCGAATTGGTGTCCGTGGTTGTCTGTGTGTAGTGATATGAGGGAGTGGATATCATGTCTTTTGACGGCTAGCTTATGTTCGTGGATACGAAGACGAAGAGGAGGGCAGTCCACTTTGGCCAATGTAGTGTTTTTCGTAGTTGTTACAATTTATTTTGTAGATGATGTTGGTTTTATCTTCTTTCGCTGTTGAGTCTTTTGGTTGACATAGAATTGAGTGCAGCGACTTTGTTGGTTTGGGGGTTTCAAACCAAAAGCACCCAAGGAAAGCACAAAGAAAATCGCCTTACCACATATAATGGATATTTCAGAAATCACTGCAAGACTGTTCAGACCTCTAGGAATTGACGTCGTACACAAACCAAGTTCAAGTGAAAGAAAGTATCAGTCCCAATACAAGTAACATAGAAGGTTTGGAAACACACAAAAACAACCAATCACGTCCAAGGTCACCAACCAGGAGAGATGATTAATAAACTCGTGGAGAAATCTAAAAGCTCACTTCATGGGATTGAAGTATTCGCTGAAGATGTCACACCTAGTAGGGTAATGAAAGCTTCGCAAATCAACCACCCAGCTCAGATAGCACAACCACATCAAAATCGTCCACCTGAGCTACAAATCTTTTCTATCATATGTGCGTCATATGTGGCACAGTGGTTAGGACTCTCGCCGACCATACACATGGTACGAAGTTCGATCCCCTGCCGAGGCACATCTGATATATATGGTTCGCCTGCAAAATTTGGGCTATCGATATCCATGCTGAAAACTACATACTTGTACCAAAAATACAGTGTGGAATCAAGCTGTAATAAAAAAAGCAAAATAAAAAAAAATATCTGGAAGTACAAGGTGGCGTCCTATTTGTTCACTATGGAAAATGTCTGGATTTCTCTACTTCTCCATAGTTTAACTTTAGATTGTTTTTAATGCCAAAAGTCTTCTTGACACACATTCAATTATACCAATCTATACGTGGTTTTTGATACACTTTATATCATTTGATAATTTGTTTGTTTAGTATATCACTGGGGATATAGATACATCCAGCTGTAATGAGTCCCAAATAAGGATTCCATTGCTGGTCACGATCAACAAAAATAACATGTTAATCCTCAGATATTGTTAGACAATGGCCGTACTAGTAGCTGACATGTCAACAGAGACTAAGTACTTTGGCTGGACAGGGAATGTAGATTAACTCAAACAATAAATTTTGTTGGTGTTTTGAAGAGTTCTTGAGTAGATTAAAAAACGTGTAATGAAGAGCAAATAGTTCCACGAAGTGTTTGTAGTCAGCTGATGTTTTAATTCATATTGCAGAACTTTGACCGCATAGACTTCGTTGAACTAGTCGTTTATAAATAATGAACTTCAGGAAACCGTCGAATGACGTCGCGCTTCAGGCCACTGCTCGAGTGGAATCCCAATGGGGGGTGAGGGTGACATGGAGGAGATCGTATGAGGAAGTTATGAGAGAGTTTGAGCAATCGTGAACCCAACTGAAGAGGATAGCGAAAAAAAGAACAAAGTCGAGATGTGTTGTTGAAGCCCTATTTTCTACATGGAATACAAAGGAATAATATTGATAATGAATACCATCCAGGAGATTACTTAATAGATATGTAACTAAGCATATTTAGCTGAGAATTTTGAACATTCTCTCAGTAAAAGTATGTTTGGAGTGGGACTTAGAGCAGTTCGATTTTCTACGGAGCACTAAGCAATGATTCTGACATCAGAATCTTTTATTCTGTTGTTCTTTTGGAAATTAAATAAAGGGACTAATTGTTATGGTACTTGGCTATGATTGGTTGTTTTGGTATTGATCATTTCTTTGAATTGGTGTTGAACCTTTTCTGTAATATGACTAAGTGCTGTAGAATGTCTTGTAGAAGAACAACGAAGGCTTTACGAAAATGGGCTACCTAGCCCAGACAATACAATCGTATCACCGCAAACATTTACATGACCTCCATTATGGTTGTACATTTCTCCTAAGAAATCCAGAGCGATAATTGCCATCGATGAATTAAGCTAAACATTTGAATTATGCATAAATATCTAAAATACGGTACTATATTGCATATAGAAGTGGTGAATAGGGTTTATAAACCTAAGGATGCCGTCAAAAAAAAACTGTCATTGTGTGTTAATAGGAGAAAAAATTAACAGAGCTGTGTTACTGGTGATCTACGATCAGAAATATGGATCAAGAATAAAGAGAATCGTTGGTGTTAGATGGTTGGAGGCAATCGGCGGGAAGCCCTACCTGACCTAGGTAGGTTTCGTGCTAGTTGGCACTCACCAGTCAGCAAGGCGTATCTGCAACCTTGAGGGAACTACTCAAACCTGCGTCACCCTATGCTGCAATCAGAGACGTTATCACTGAGCTATTCAGACTGGCAGTTGACTTCCTGGTGGTAACGTCTCTGACTGCAGCACTGGGTGATGCGGGTTCGAGTCTCGAAAGGGACATGAGTAGTTCCTTGCTGACTGGTGAGTGCCAACTAGCACGACACCTAGGTCAGGTAGGGCTTCCTGTGGCTGATTGCCTCCAACTATCTAAAATCAACAATTTGAAGTGTACCGTGACGGCGAGTTACCTCAAGTGGTGGCCAGGTTGCAAACCTAACTGATAGAATTCAGTCTGCACCAAACATAGGACTAAGCACATAATCACACCAGTGTCCAATCAAAGTATAAGGAGATTCGAATGAACAGTGTTCAACATAGGGTGGTACATGGAGAAAAGAATGTACAGTAAATACAGTTTAAACATAAGAAGGTGATTGCGCCGAAACAGTTAGAATGTTTATATATATAAATAAATGTTTATATAGATAAATAAACTGTAACGAAAATCAATACAAATAATCACTCTACTTACTAATAATAAGTAGTATAAATTTAAATACAAATGAAACTGTAATAAAGAAACTGTAATAATAACAATCATGTTCATTATATTTTTAGACTATAGGAACTATACTAACAAATATAATTATGGCAGCTGTACCAGATGTACCAAAGCATATTAGACGAGAAATGTATCATGAAGCCAATATAACTAATGCAATTATCTTGAATGCTGAAGTCGGCAATCAACAATACAATCGTACAATAACTAAAGATGTCAATTTTAAACAGATAATTATGCTGAAACATTTACAAGATAAGCTACAATCATTTAGTAAGCCGAAAAATCGTGATGATGATTATACTGGTAATAAGGATATAAATGATGCCAATGATGATATTGATCGTAGTACCATGGATTTGAATACTACTACCACTAAAACTAATACGAATAATGACAGTACATGCCAAACAACTTCTAATCCTGTTGTATACACATTTCATAGCTATGAATTACCAACTGATGGTTCACAGGTAGGTAAAAGAAAAGAGAAGTATGAGTATTATTGCTATTATTGTTATTTATACTGACAAATTGGTGAAAGAATAATAATTGTAAACCATGCACTGGATGCAGAACTCCGACCACAACAAGCTGGCTGGGAAATCATGTTCTGATCGAATTGCAAATCTACGCATCATCATCACAGAACAAAGCATGGAATGACAATCAAACCTATACCTCAACTTTATAGACTTTGAGAAGACCTTCGACAGTTAGCGTTGACCGCGAAGTAATTTGGAAATTACTCGAGTACTACAGCGTACAGTGCCCCAAATATTCATCAACCTTATTCAACAGTTGAACGACAAACGGAACATGTCAAGTGATCCACAACGGAAAACTCAGTGAGGCGTTTGAAGTAAACACAGGAGTTAGACAGGGGTGCTTACTATCACCAATGATATTCGTAATTGTGGTGGACTGACTGGATTATGCGTCAGACAGTGAGTGGGAAACGAGAAGACAGGGATATCCTGGACCGACCGACGCGAAGATCCTAGAAGACCTGGATTTCGTGTGGGGATGATTTATGCGTGGTGTTACACAAAATCGAAGACTTACAAGCGAAAACTGACAAACTGGTCGAAGAAGCAGCCGGCGAAGACAAGACTCCAAGTGAACATAGACAAGACGGAGGTGATGAAAATAACCAACCAACCAACAACAACAGCAGCAACATCCAGCGTCAATCACCATCAACGGGAGGGGTTTGAAAGAGGTTACTTCATTCACCTACTTCTCTAGGGAGCATTGTGTCAACTACAAGTAGTCGGAACGGACGAGGATGTCAAATAGAGAGAGAATCGGGAAGGCGAGAAACACACACATTCATCATCCTGAAACTGATCTGGAAATCTTCGTCACTCAGCCAGCATCAACAACAAAATTCAGTCGGATTTTCAATACAAACAACGTCAAGTCAGTCAGTTCTTGTATACGGAACGGATCAGAAACTTGGCGGGCGGGCGCGTCACAAACAATATTTCCAACAGCCTGCTGCAGACATTTATCAACCAACAACTGTCTTCGCTGGCTCTATACTGAAGATCAGATGGCCGAGCAGGAAAGAATCACCAACAAGGAACTATGGGAACAAACAAACAAACAAAGCAAGAAACAATCGCCAGCCAACAAATATGCAGGAGAAAGTGGAGATGGATCGGCCACTCGCTGAGGAGGCCGGTTGGTGACATCGCGCGTCAGGCCATTACTCGAGTGGAACTCGAAAGGGAATCTGCGAGTGGGACGTCAGTGCAAGGTTGACATGGAGGAGATCGTGTGAAGAGGACTTGAAACAGCATGGACTAACACGGATACAGGTGAAAAGTACAGCAGAAGGAAGACAGAAGTGTCAAGTGGAGACGTGGAGTTGAAGCCCTATGTTTCACTAGGAACCCAAAGGAGCAATAATAATTATTATTATCAGTTACTACTGATGTCCGGGAAGCATAAGAATGATTATTGCCCATTTCTACGAGAAATCAATAACTGTCTGAATAATTCAGTGGTACTTATCTCTGGTTACGGCACTGGTTGACTGTGGCAGACATTAGTTCTTTAAAGGTTGTTGATACATCTCACTGAAGAGTGGCGATAACCACAAAACCCAGGGTCAGGAAGAGTTGCTTAACATTATTTAAAAGAATTTCAATGATGCTATTAACAATATCATAGTATAAGTATAATAATTCTATTTCTAATACTAGCGAACACAATTTGCATCGAACGGACTCTTCAATGAATATATTATCAAGCTGTGCAATCGTATATATACGTGATTTTTAAGAAACCATATCCCATGAAGAAATTTAAACAAAAGGTTTGGATACTTTTGATACTAATAATAATGGTAATGTGAATTACTACGAAATATTCGTGATTATAATGAAATTCAATATCAGGCGATAAAACAAATCATGTAAAGCTCAACCTCCAGTTACTGTCATAGGCGACTAACTGTTCTCTTACCTGACTTTGTGGACTTCTCACTATATATACTGCCTTGTAATCGGAAGACCCTGGGTTCGAACCCTGGTTGGTGTGTACCCCTGGAGATTTCCGAACTAGGATGAGACAGTTGTCCAGTAGTCCTCGGTTTCCAGTGGTTCTCTAACTGACATTAACTCTGATATCTGGATCCAGTCAAATCCCTGCAAACTACCACTCGATAAACCAAATTAGATCATACACAAAGTAGTTCATAGCATATATAGATCTTGAAAAGGATTATCAAATTAAACAAGATCTACTATGCGGCAAGTTGATAAATATGATAAGGATCATAAAATTGACAGCAAAGTTAAACTATCACGTCCCACGGGATGCGAACGTACAAGTGACCTTGAGCAGACCAGTCATAAAATAGGTGATCTTTACACACAAAAAAATCACGTTTGTTTACAAGAAAATACATAAAAACGCATTAAACAAGGTGTCTTTCTCTGACATGACCTCCCACTTATAATGAGGAGTATCAGTTTTTAAGTTCGACCAGTTTCTGTACATGTATTCACTGAGGTAACTTAAGGTCAGCTGAATTTGTGACCCGTTTGTCGTCGTTTTCCTGTTTTGCAGTCTTCTCCAAAAGCCCTCGGTTGAAATACTATGGTTTCCATTAAGAGGATCGACGACTACTTACTAGGAAAATGTGAATAATAAAACAAATTTAAATAAGTAATACCTACTCCATACCTATCCCTAATCGTAATCCTAACGCTAATCTTAATAATAACTCTGATCCTAACCCTAAAGAGCTATTAATGAATCGTCCGGATCTGGGTAACATTTGCTCCTTATTTGGTGAATAGAGTTCAATATTAGCGCTATAAATAATGATAGGCCTCGTTATCCAATGACTAGCATATGTTCAAGGTCATTAGGGGCGTTCACACACCTTGAAGCTGATAGTTTTGTAACGACAGAAGACAAGAGCCAGGCAACAGATCGTTTATTGAGAAAATCAACAGATATTTATAGACTTTGATGTACATTATTATAGGTTATTGGTAGCAGAGAAACAGCGTCTTCTGATTGGTTGTTTTCCTGCTGAAGGTTATTCTACCACCTCTTTGTTGTTAATCTTATCCACCCACGCTAAGTCTGCTGCGATTGGTTGTTGAGTTAATCTTTGTTCTTGTTTTTTCTCATGACCCTGATTTGAGGTGTAAACATCGACGTAAATTGCTGTCTACCAGTTTAGGCTAGCAGACAGCTCTCACCACAGTTTAACTTTGCATAATATTCTTTTTCGAATAATTTATATCTCTCTCATATCCCCACACATCTTTTTTTTTATTTTGTCTTGGACTTGATCTTCTTTCTTTTTTCCAGTTAACGCAACCATCACCATCAACATATCTCCTGCCGTATTCAAATAATCTGCCGCATATTGGATTCAGTCATTTAGAGAGTAATACAAATAATAAGAGCAGTGGTAGTAGAACATAATGTAGTGACATCATGTAATTCCTATTTATCAATTCATACATTCATACACACGTACATAAACGTGTATGTAATATGAAATGATTTCATTTTAGAATTTTATTCCCTTATATTGCTTGCGTTTTTTTTGCGTATTTAAAAGCTTTATATTTTATTTTTATTATCGGCTTAACTTTGCAATATATATATACATACATCGATTATTATTTACTTCTGATTGCTTTTGTTTTTGTTTTCATTACTGCTGCGCCCTTTTTCCTATTCTCTCTATTTATTATCATGATCCTAATGCCCTTTTGTTTGCTAGACTCCTTAACTTTCTGTACATAGATGATTCCTATTATCATTACTATTATTTTGTCCAATCAGTTTTCTTGTAACTAATACTTTGAGTGAAGTGTTGTGTATATGAGATGCCTTGCACTCTTGTACACAGACACACACACACACAGACAGTATCAAGCATGTTTCGCAGACAACAGTTCATCTAACTTTTGTTGAAAAACAAGACTATACATTGTGAGGAGAATCCTTTTTTCAATGCAGTTAGATAGACGGATTGACAACTGGTTAGATGATGGGTGGATAGGCATGTGGTGCTGTTATTGTTGTCGCTGCTGTACTATTTCCCCTTAGTTGCGTAACTGTTTGTTTGATTTTCTTTTTCTTCTTTAATTAGTTAACTTATTTCACCAACGAAGCTACTCTGAGATGAAATGTTCACCTCTACTCCTCCTCCTCCTCGTTTTCCTCCAACACCTTTTTTATTTTTTAATTTCTTGCTCGATAAACGTTTGTTTCTTTAAAAAAAAGAGATAGATGAAGTGAAGAAACGAGAGAAAAAGAAGGAAATTTTGAAAAATGCGCCCATTTTATTTTCTTGTAATGCTTCTACTTTGTTTCACTCAGTTTTATTTCTTTGCCTGCCCGCCTGCCAGGCCCATTTTCACTGGAGTGAAGCGTGGAACTCTTAATTGTTTCTTTTGCTTCATTATTCTCTGTTTTTCATTATTTTTGCTCATATATTTATTTATAGATTTCTGTATTCCTAACTAGTTAATTTCCTTTTTTCAAATGAATTAAGATCTGTTAATTGAGATGTAAATAATGCCTTAATAGTCATGATATTAATAATAATAAGCCCATTATTATTATTTCATCTCTGAATATGTCGTTTTCACTTATTGACTAATTGACCTACACACACACACACACTTGTGGATTGTAGATATTTCTGAAAGTTCCAGCCGCTAGCCAATATCACATACTAGTGATTTTTCTCTTGCCTGACTTGTTGAACGCCTTCTGGTGGCAACTTCTCACTAGAAACTCGCATAATCTCCAGTATATTACCCGTCTGCGAAGTTAGACAAGCGGTTAGTTATTGGCCTGTAACAATGGCTAGTGGTCGTGCTAAATATATGTGTCACGAATTTGCAGAAGTCGGAATTCATGAACTGTTGGGTTGGGTCCCAATGGCTGGATGGTCTACGAGCTCGCCTTGTGACCGGAAGGTCCTGGATTCTAACTCTGTTGGTGGGTGCGTACTGCTAGGCTTTCCAATGGTTCTCCAACGGGTGTCAGTTAGTAATCAAACCTGTAACCAATCAAATCCCTGCAAAATAACACTGAATAATTATATTTGTATAGATATTAACGACATTGAAATAAAGTAATTCCATCGTTTCCTTCGACAGACTGATCCGTACTTCTTCAGTGAAATAATCAAAAGGTATGTAAGTATAAAAGGAAACATCTTGGCCTTAAAATTTTCCTCCAGTCATATTTGTGTCATAAATAGTCATCAGAAATAAAATAAACAAAACTGCATGAACTGTGATCAAGATTTGACATGAAAGTTTCACAAACAGTGTTGATGATTATAAGTTTATTTAGTTGTTAACTGGAAACAGTGTGTACTTATGCATCAGTCTTTAATGTCAATGTACGAATAAACGTTTTTGTCACATCGTAGGTAGTAAGGAAATCTGTATAAGAATAATATGTATGTGCTATTTAATAATGTGAATAAGACATTTAGAAGACAAATTTCACGAGACAATATCACTTCGTCGATTCTTTACAACTTACATGGTTCACAATAATAATAATAAAATAAAATGCATGACAATTATATAAAACAAAAGTGCATACGAATGACCGCTAGGTCAATAAATTCATGGTAGGCGAAGCTTGAAGTCTATTGTTTTTTTTGTACACATATTTTAGTGTAACAACAGAAGACAAGGGCGAAGCAACAGATCGTTTTATTATGAAAATCAACACGAATTTATACATATTTCACATACATTATTATAGCTTATGCAAGTAGACAAGCGCAGTCATCTGATTGGTTGTTTATCAGAAGTTAGGCAGACAAACGCAGGCTTCTGATTGGTTGTTTCGGGATTCCTCGACAAATAGAGTTCTCTATCTGCGAATCATATTTTGCCACGTTAACTTTGCTGTGATTGGTTGTTGAATCAGCCTTGTTCATATTTTCTCACGGCCTGCTCTCACCTCATTAGGATGTATGTGATTAATCCCGCAAAGTGCTTCCATCCCCTTTAATAACCAACCTTAAATTAGAGTTATGTGATGAAATAATTGTGAAGCAGCCATAAATATTGATTTTATGACCTGAAAAATAATAAGTGAATTGCAATGAATGATGTATTTCTATTCAGAAAAATTGCATCAGGGTTTTCCATGTGTTTTAATAACCATTCTGGAACATGTTCTTCTCGACGATCGCACTATCACATTCTATTTGTTCTACCTGTATAAGTGTCACCGCAACTGCAAGTGAACTTGCAGATACAGTTTGAAGTAGATTCCAGTGAATTTCGTCCTTTAATCATAGGTACAGGGGGTTCGGAAGTGTTCGGCATGTTAGGGGAAGAGATACGGCGTAGAATGTGCGCTTGACGGCTGACTGAAGTCTTTGAGCTGTCAACTTTTAATATAAGTATAAAACTTATCCATAGTGGAGTTCTGCTTTAGCCTGTTGGAAGTGCTTTCAACGACATGAATTGCTAGTTTCTGACCAGTACTGAAGAACTGAATGATTTCATTTTGGTGTTGAAAACCCGAATCTTGTTCTTCATGATGAGTGCAGTAGATTTCTAAACTGGTTTAAGATTTATAAAGGTGTGTGTGTGTGTGTGTGTGTGCCTTTCCAATTCTGGTTGGCTGACTGACAGTGAAATCTTAATCCGTTTCGACTTCCTGCGGTTGAAACACTTCTTTCTAGCCAGATAACTATAGGGAGTAACCTCTGTCAAATCTCTCCCGTTGATGGTGATTGGTGCTGATTGTTGTTACTTTTGGTTGGTTATCTTCATCACTTCTATCTTCTCTATATTCACCTGCAGTCCAGTCTTCAGTGCCTCTTCAGCCAACTTCTTGGTTTTCGCCTGTCACTCTTCGAGTTTATGTGACATCAAAAATAAATTATCCGCGAAATTCAAATCTCTATTATATTATTATTATTGTTCCCTTGGATTCCTAGTGAAACATAGAGCTTCAACTCCACGTCTCCACTTGCCACTTCTGTCTTCCTTCTGCTGTACCTTTCACCTGCATCCGTGTTAGTCCATGCTGTTTCAAGTCCTCTTCACACGACCTCCTCCATGTCAACCTTGCACTGACGTCCCACTCGCCGATTCCCTTTCGAGTTCCACTCGAGCAATTGCCTGACGCGCGATGTCACCAACCGGCCTCCTCAGCGAGTGGCCGATCCATCTCCACTTTCTCCTGCATATTTGTTGGCTGGCGATTGTTTCTTGCTTTGTTTGTTTGTTTCTTCCCATAGTTCCTTGTTGGTGATTCTTTCCTGCTTGGCCATCTGATCTTCAGTATAGAGCCAGCGAAGACAGTTGTTGGTTGATAAATGTCTGCAGCAGGCTGTTGGAAATATTGTTTGTGACGCGCCCGCAATCCAAGTTTCTGATCCGTTCCGTATAGAAGAACTGACTGACTTGACGTTGTTTGTATTGAAAATCCGACTGAATTTTGTTGTTGATGCTGGCTGAGTGACGAAGATTTCCAGATCAGTTTCAGGATGATGAATGTGTGTGTTTCTCGCCTTCCCGATTCTCTCTCTATTTGACATCCTCGTCCGTTCCGACTACTTGTAGTTGAGACAATGCTCCCTAGATAAGTAGGTGAATGAAGTAACCTCTTTCAAACCCCTCCCGTTGATGGTGATTGACGCTGGATGTTGCTGCTGCTGTTGTTGTTGTTGTTGGTTGGTTGGTTATTTTCATCACCTCCGTCTTGTCTATGTTCACCTGGAGTCCTGTCTTCAGTGCCTCTTCAGCCAATTTCTTGGTTTTCGCCTGTCACTCTTCGAGTTTATGTGACATCAAAAATAAATTATCCGCGAAATCCAAATCTCTATTATATTATCATTATTGTTCCCTTGGATTCCTAGTGAAACATAGAGCTTCAACTCCACGTCTCCACTTGACACTTCTGTCTTCCTTCTGCTGTACCTTTCACCTGCATCCGTGTTAGTCCATGCTGTTTCAAGTCCTCTTCACACGACCTCCTCCATGTCAACCTTGCACTGACGTCCCACTCGCCGATTCCCTTTCGAGTTCCACTCGAGCAATGGCCTGACGCGCGATGTCACCAACCGGCCTCCTCAGCGAGTGGCCGATCCATCTCCACTTTCTCCTGCATATTTGTTGGCTGGCGATTGTTTCTTGCTTTGTTTGTTTGTTTCTTCCCATAGTTCCTTGTTGGTGATTCTTTCCTGCTTGGCCATCTGATCTTCAGTATAGAGCCAGCGAAGACAGTTGTTGGTTGATAAATGTCTGCAGCAGGCTGTTGGAAATATTGTTTGTGACGCGCCCGCAATCCAAGTTTCTGATCCGTTCCGTATAGAAGAACTGACTGACTTGACGTTGTTTGTATTGAAAATCCGACTGAATTTTGTTGTAGATGCTGGCTGAGTGACGAAGATTTCCAGATCAGTTTCAGGATGATGAATGTGTGTGTTTCTCGCCTTCCCGATCCTCTCTCTATTTGACATCCTCGTCCGTTCCGACTACTTGTAGTTGAGACAATGCTCCCTAGATAAGTAGGTGAATGAAGTAACCTCTTTCAAACCCCCCCCCGTTGATGGTGATTGACGCTGGATGTTGCTGCTGCTGTTGTTGTTGGTTGGTTGGTTGGTTGGTTATTTTCATCACCTCCGTCTTGTCTATGTTCACCTGGAGTTCAGTCTTCGCCGGCTGCTTCTTCGACCAGCTTGTCAGATCTCGCTTGTAAGTCCTCGATTTTGTGTAACACCACGCATAAATCATCCCCACGCGAAATCCAGGTCTTCTAGGTTCTTCGCGTCGGTCGGTCCAGGATATCCCTGTCTTCTCGTTTCCCACTCACTGTCTGACGCATAATCCAGTCAGTCCACCACAATTAGGAATATCATTGGTGATAGATAATAAGCACCCTTGTCTGACTCCTGTGTTTACTCCAAACGCGAGGCGTCGCTGAGGTTTCTGTTGAGGATCACTTGACATGTTCCGTTTGTCGTTCAACTGTTGAATAAGGTTGATGAATATTTCGGGCACTGTACGCTGTAGTACTCGAGTAATTTCCAAATTACTTCGCGGTCAACGCAGTCTGATGAAGGCCTTCTCAAAGTCTATAAATTTGAGGTATAGGTTTGATTGTCATTCCATGCTTTGTTCTGTGATGATGATGCGTAGATTTGCAATTCGATCAGAACATGATTTCCCAGCCAGCTTGTTGTGGTCGGAGTTCTGCATCCAGTGCATGGTTTACAATTATTATTCTCTCACCAATTTGTCAGTATAAATAACAATAATAGCAATAATACTCATACTTCTCTTTTCTTTTACCTACCTGTGAACCATCAGTTGGTAATTCATAGCTATGAAATGTGTATACAACAGGATTAGAAGTTGTTTGGCATGTACTGTCATTATTCGTATTAGTTTTAGTGGTAGTAGTATTCAAATCCATGGTACTACGATCAATATCATCATTGGCATCATTTATATCCTTATTACCAGTATAATCATCATCACGATTTTTCGGCTTACTAAATGATTGTAGCTTATCTTGTAAATGTTTCAGCATAATTATCTGTTTAAAATTGACATCTTTAGTTATTGTACGATTGTATTGTTGATTGCCGACTTCAGCATTCAAGATAATTGCATTAGTTATATTGGCTTCATGATACATTTCTCGTCTAATATGCTTTGGTACATCTGGTACAGCTGCCATAATTATATTTGTTAGTATAGTTCCTATAGTCTAAAAAAATAATGAACATGATTGTTATTATTACAGTTTCTTTATTACAGTTTCATTTGTATTTAAATTTATACTACTTATTATTAGTAAGTAGAGTGATTATTTGTATTGATTTTCGTTACAGTTTATTTATCTATATAAACATTCTAACTGTTTCAGCGCAATCACCTTCTTATGTTTAAACTGTATTTACTGTACATTCTTTTCTCCATGTACCAGCCTATGTTGAACACTGTCCATTCGAATCTCCTTATACTTTGATTGGACACTAGTGTGATTATGTGCTTAGTCCATTGTTTGGTGCAGACTGAATTCTATCAGTTAGGTTTGCAATCTGGCCACCAATTGAGGTAGCTCGCCGTCACGGTACACTTTAAATTGTTGATTTTAGATAGTTGGAGGCAATCAGCAGGAAGCCCTACCTGACCTAGGTGTCGTGCTAGTTGGCACTCACCAGTCAGCAAGGAACTACTCATGTCCCTTTCGAGACTCGAACCCGCATCACCCAGTGCTGCAGTCAGAGACGTTACCACCAGGAAGTCAACTGCCAGTCTGAATAGCTCAGTGATAACGTCTCTGATTGCAGCACAGGGTGACGCAGGTTTGAGTAGTTCCCTCAAGGTTGCAGATACGCCTTGCTGACTGGTGAGTGCCAACTAGCACGAAACCTACCTAGGTCAGGTAGGGCTTCCCGCCGATTGCCTCCAACCATCTAACACCAACGATTCTCTTTATTCTTGATCCATATTTCTGATCGTAGATCACCAGTAACACAGCTCTGTTAATTTTTTCTCCTATTAACACACAATGACAGTTTTTTTTTGACGGCATCCTTAGGTTTATAAACCCTATTCACCACTTCTATATGCAATATAGTACCGTATTTTAGATATTTATGCCTAATTCAAATGTTTAGTTTAATTCATCGATGGCAATTATCGCTCTGGATTTCTTAGGAGAAATGTACAACCATAATGGAGGTCATGTAAATGTTTGCGGTGATACGATTGTATTGTCTGGGCTAGGTAGCCCATTTTCGTAAAGCCTTCGTTGTTCTTCTACAAGACATTCTACAGCACTTAGTCATATTACAGAAAAGGTTCAACACCAATTCAAAGAAATGATCAATACCAAAACAACCAATCATCATTAAGAGTGTATTGTGAAATTAGGATATATTTGCGTTATAATGCCGACTTTATTGGAGTCATTCAGTCTACAGTATTTAGTATTCTTTAAGTGTTTCCACTAGCTGAAGAATTCCGATTCTAGTCGAATTCATATCTATTTTCGAGTATCCTGTATGAATTTTTATCACAAAAGATTTGATGTTTTACCGAAATGGTATCTGAAATTGTGGGAAAATGGATTTGATTGATTTCTTGAATTAACCGTCCACTTTGGTGATTACTATCATATAAATGTAATTTAAGTAAAACCAAATGTCAATGATTGGTCATCTGTTGTGTTAAGCTGCACAGTAAAAGGCTGATAGAAAGTTACCTAGAATATCCTATTAGCGACGTTAAACAGCATTCATAAGTTATTGATATCAGTATGCATTTAGAAAAGCCAACGCTGTTTGATTCATTTATTAACTCCATAATCCCTAACTTGAAAAGGAAGTCAGCTCCTAGAATACTGCATGAGTAGAGAAAACATTTTCAGTTTAACCTTGTCTTGGATTAGTTTCTTATTGAAAAAATCATAAAATTTTGGAAAAATGAAGAGCCTTTGAGGAGTAATCGTGTGCACATGTTGATTAGGTAACAGATTGTTAAAGAAAACAAAACAATTTGGACAATGATAATTTGTAACTAAGGTTGAAGTGGTCATAAGAATAAAATAATTAATTTTACAAGGATAACACGTAATTAAAATAAAATAATTTGGACAATTATAGTTTTTATAATTTTTAAAAAATTTTAGGGGAAGGGGAATGAAGTAGTCCGGTTTATACAATCATGTAACGATGGCCAAGGTAACGAAAGTGGCTGTAGAAATTTCTTCTGAACACACAAGTTTAGCTTCTTCAGGTGAATTCCGATCGCTTCAGCTGTCTGTAGAAGACGAACTCGCAGAGCAAAATTAAGATTAGTCGGAATGCGATAAATAATTTTAAATGCAGTATTCATATCAACCTTATGCTCATTATCAACACGGTGGGCTAAAATAGAACTACGAATAGATCTTGTTTGTCCCTTGCTTAACCACATTGGATAACGTTATGAAATACGACGATGAACTTGCCTAATTGTACGCCCTATGTAGCTGGCTCCGTAGCTGCAGTCAAACTGATAGATACACATAGAGGAGGCGAATTTAGGTAGTTTATCCTTATTTGTCGAACGTAGAATAGGTGGGGGTGGTTGTGAAGAGACAACGTACCTCTGATGCATAATAAGTTCTTTTAACTGCATTTTTCAGTCGTTGTGTTATTATTTCGCTGATGTTGCCACCGAGGAACTGCAGTTTTATGAAAAGTAGTTTTTCGAAACTGCTTCCATAGTGACTGTCCTAGGTGATGAATTCATATTTTTCTCAATGAACTTATCTGGATTACCATTTTTTCTAAGTAATTCTCTAATAATCTTAAGCTCCTCATTGAAGCAGTCGTCTGAACAGATTAACCTAGCTCTATGAGCCAGATATTACGTTTATATTTCGAAGGTACAAAACTTAAAAAATGAGTGTACTGACCTGTTGTAGTAGGTTTCCTGTACACACTCCTTCTTAGTGTGCCATCTTCTTTCCTTGCCATGAAGACGTCTAGGAATGAGATACAGTCATTACTTTCTTTCTCTATAGTAAAGTTTATTGCTGAATGGGCATCATTAAATTTGTCAAGGATATTCATTGCGTCGTCCTCGTTTTTTATGACCAGAAATGTATCATCCATATATTGACAGTAGAAATCCAAGTCACTAATCGCTCCTTTCAGTGGTCCATTTTCTAATTTAGCGAGGAAAAAATCTGCTAGGATTGGGCCTAATGGGGAACCCATAGCTACACCATCAATTCGCCCGTAATATTCCTTATTGAATGAGAGATGAACATTCATTGTACATCTTAAAACAAGTTCCTTCATGGTGGATACAGGAACGCCGATATCGATGTTTCGTGTAGTAATCTCCTCACATATAAAATCCACTGTCTCCATTAACGGTTTGTTTTTCTAACGGTTTAACTAGGATTTAAATATATTACGTTTGACACACATACAGATACTGAAAATGAATATGGGAATTCATTTCCCACGTTATCATATTACTGTTGGTACAGTTTTTAATTCAGTTTGAAAAACTCCATTATGGGTAAATTTTTGTTTTGATAAAGTCTCACAGTGTTATACAGTAATGTTTACTGATGACGTTTCGAGCACAATTTATTGCTAATAATCATATCAAGGTAATCACCCGACTTCCTAAATTTATTTATATAGTTCCATTATTTTTCACTTGATTTTCACCAATCAAATCAAGTTAAAATCAAGTGAAAAATAATGGAACTATATAAATGAATTTAGGAAGTCGTGTGATTACCTTGATATGATTATTAGCAATAAATTGTGCTCGAAACGTCATCAGTAAACATTACTGTATAACACTGTGAGACTTTATCAAAACAAAAATTTACCCATAATGGAATTATACTCTACCACAGTGCACAAGTTTTATTCTTATATCAGTTTGAAAAACGTTTCATAAAAATAAGCTTTTGATTTGATTCAGGTAAGTGTTTTGAGTGCATCAATTTAGGAAGATTATCCAAATGAACAAATTATCTGATTTAAATCTCAAATTACTATCGCTTCTGAATGGGATGATTCTTTATTACACTGAAGTGTGAAAAACCATTTCTTATGTAGTATGGTGTTTCTAAACATTTTATGCATTTGCAAATCTTTCCTTTCCAAAATTAAAAATCGTTTGAATTTCTTTACGCTACTGATAATTTTTAGAGTAGGCAAAAACGAATCATAAAATATTTTAAAATCGCTGACATGACGTAGTTGTGTCTACAAATAGGTATAAATCTACTTCTGAAGCACAACAGATTCTAACTTACCGATCGATAGCTTCAGATAACCGAGTCTACCTGTGAAAATCGAATAACACCTTTCATGGATGTGTATGAGATATATTTTGATATCTGTTATTGTTGATCCCATCGATGAGTGGAAATAGGTATCAACTTTCCTGCCTGAAATCTCTTCCTCCTACATTCACTTTGTAAACATTTCATTTACATCACACGAGTCTAGCTGGCAAAAGTGTGGAACAGCTTACTCGCATAAACCTGATGATGCAATCAGAAGATTCATTGTTTAGCTTCTTGATGACAGTTTTCAGATTTTTTAAGCCATTCCCTGTTCTCATAGGTCTAGATTAATCGGGAATGAATTCGGGATTTCGGTAGGTCACAGTTTTGTGGAAAATTTTTTAATGATAAATCAGCAAACAGTTATCCAAGACTTTTTCAATTGCCTCGTTATACCTCACCTTCATGAATATTCGCTTAGCATTATGGATGAACCGTTCAAGTGAATCATTGGACTATTATTGATATTACAGAAGAGAGGCGAATTTGTTCGATGCAAAATTGGTTGTTGAAATCTGGGAATATTATTGGGGGTAAACTGAGACAAATTATGGCATTGCAGAACATCATGGATATAAGAATGAGAAAAGTGGATGACTTAAGCCACTTTTGTTTGCAGTGCTGATGAAGGCATAGTGGACGTTCAAGCCTGTTTAGAAAAATGCCTTGATTTGTTCATCAGCGTTAGGCCAATAACCCTTATTTTGATTTTATGGAGTTGACAGATAGATTAGAACTTCACCACAGTGGAATACAATACGCATTCTCGAACAAGGTATAAAGAAGGTTGTGTAAAGAATGAATATGCTTAGACCATGTGGAACAGGTGAATACTGAAGGTTGTTAGAAAATTGTATCATATGGAGTGTGGTCAGCAACCTGAACTTCATTTAGTGGGA